GAAAATCACGAAACTCTTCCATGGTTAGCCTGACCACAAGGGGACTCTAACCCCTGTTTCGTCTACCACTAAGTATATTTTACACCAGCATGGAGGGAAATTCGTATCGAACATCCATCGCTGTGATTCGTTCCCGTTTACCTCATTGGAAGGTTCTATCCCCTGAGCCACCACGACTCTACATGCATCTTTTAAAACATTTATGTATATATTTTTAAAGCTTTAAGTACAAATAGACAAAAGCTGAGATAAATAATTAATATATACTGACCGACACGCCTTTGTATATATTTGTCTCTTTCATTAAAAACAATGCTGTGTTACAGTATTGTATGTGTTTTCATCGTTTCACACTGAAGTGTTACATTCTAATACGTGATGATAACAGTATGTAGCAGAAATACCAATTTTATAAAATTGAAATAGAATTCATTTTACAATACATCTGCATCATCTTTGTTAAAAAGATTCTTCTATTCATCATTGCTTTTATGAACAAGATTAGTTCTTAAAAAAATGTAAAAATGTATGATTATATATATAATTATTTCTATTTCTTAAACTAATTTTTTTTCCTATTACGCTTATATTCTTCTAAAATATCTAAAAAAAAGTAATATTACAAAACATTTTGCCTTATTATACAGTCGAACCTCGCTAAGTCGAATCTCGATTTCACGAATTTTTCGATATCTCGAAAAAAAAAATCCCTTCAAATTTCCTATACATTCAATGTTAAGAAAACCTTGATTTCTCGGATTTGTTTTTTCTAATCCCTCGAAAACTTTAATTTTTTTTCCATAAATAGTGTAGATTTGTTTTATGAAAGAAAAAAAAATATTCAAAAAAAAATTTAAGAATAAAAAGCCAATTCTCGTAATCATAATCAATTCTCAAACAAACGCTTTCTGCAGTGGACACTGTAAGGAGATTTATTGAGAGGCAGCTGAATATGTCAGAGGAGACATTAAAAGCTCTAGTCCACTTAGAAAGTGTTATAGACAAACTTTCTTACACATCTCTAAAGCAAACAACTATTGTATCTTTTTAAGTGTAAAAAGTGATTTTAGAATAAATATGGAATATTAAATAAGGTATGTAAAGAGCACTTTTCCTTATTCTACCATCGATAACATGCGATTTTCGATAATTCGAATTTTCGGTATCTCGAATTTTTTCCCCTCTCCCTTCAAGTTCGAGATAACGAAGTTTGACTGTAATTGTGCAAACAATTATAATAAGTCAATACAATTATAATTGGTCTGAATATTTATTCACAATCATACTTCATAGATTGACACTTAGATAATAAAAAATAGCATGAAAAGTATTTGTTACTGAAAGAATTATATGATACATAAAAAAGAAATAGATTGTATAAAAAAAATTTTTTTTTTAAACTTTAGTTCACAAATTGAAACACTGATGGCGCTGTTAGACGATTTCAAGCGTTTCAATGGAATACTATTTATCGCCATTGCTTTACAAGTAAAGCGTTTACTCTTTAATTTCTGCTTCAGATTGGACATTTTGCGTTAATTATATTTGTTATTTAAGTCACCATTTCGTATTTAAAAAAAAAAAGATGTTTTTCTTTAAAGTGAAAGACCGTTTTATGAGAAGTATTTTGTTTTATTTATTCATCGTATGCGTCCTTCCAAGAACTACAGCAAGTAAGTACTATTTTGTTATATTCTGTACTTATATATATATTTACCTAAACATCATTTATAAAGTTTAATAAATATTTTAAATTAATGCCAAATATTAAGTTCTAGGCACAAGTATTTTATTAAATAACAGTTTTTACATGAATTAATGTCTATTTACATTATTTATCTAAAATATTTTTTTTAAATTATATGTGTGGTATTTTGAAATACATTGTTATATTTACAGTTCAGGTTCTGCTAAATTTTAATTGTGATAATTACATTTACTGAATGTCGCAAAAATAATGACTTCCTTGAAAACATTTGTAAAAATATTTCTAATTAATAACGTGATATATGATTTTAAAAAAATTTTGATTTTAAGAAACAATTTTTTTTTAGTAAAATGTCCTAAATAATGGTAAATATGATGAAGTAGGCAATATTATGAAGTATGACAATATTATGTAAGTTCTCTACAATTTTTTTACATAATTTGCAATTAGTAACAAATATGTTGACAATATCATTTAACTAAAATTACGAATTTTGAAATTAATATGATTTTTTAAAAGGCAAGCGAAGCTTAAGTGTTTCTTCACTGGTTAGTTTACCCTACTTAAAATTTGATAAAATATGGGAGGAAAGAATGTGTTATTTCTTTTATCAAATTTTTTAATGACTTTGAAAGATTGTTCAAAGAGGTTGTAAACACATTAGCATTTTATGTATTCATCTTTGATTAGATTTAATATTCAAATAGGTTTGACATTTGCATTATCAGAACTATTTTTTCCATTAAGGGGACACTATACAATCAAAATGAAAAAAAATCTTTCAAAAAATTTAAATTTTACTACGTAATAGGCAACAAAGCATGTTTAAATCTGAGGTTTTTTTTACAGAGTTATAAGATTGCGAATTTATAAAGGTTCATGCCTAAATATGGAGTTTTCGTTGACAAAGTTGTTTTTCCTCGTAGTGGAATTTTTCACAATTCTCACAACTTAAAAAAGTTCCTTGAAGACCAGTTTTTGTTTCATTGTTATTAAAAAAAATTTGCCAATGAGCTTTGCTTAATTCTAAATGTATTTGATTATCTATCTTAATTTATTTATTTCATAACTGAACAAATATAATTGAAGCATGATACTTGAAGAAATTTTTCTCGACAAAATAATAATTTAATGCCAAGTTACGATATATTTTTATACGGTAACCATAACCACGTAAATTCAACTGAATGCCTATAAACAACGTATTGGGGAAAAAATTTAGCTTAAAAACATTAAAATTCGTTCGCAAAGGAGCTTTTTAATAATCAATAGTAAAAAACCATACTAACTAAAACAACGTATTGGGGTANGGAGCTTTTTAATAACCAATAATTAAAAACCATACTAACTATACTTTCAAAGCTAATTTTTTTAAAAAAAAATTTGTTCACAAGATTTTAACTATCAATGTTCTGTAAAAATTTGAAAATGATTGAACAAAAATTGCTTGTCTTAAACGTCCTGTGTTTCATTTAACTGTTAGAATACATTATTGGACGCACTCTGAAGATTCGATGTAAAATCTTAATTATACAGTTTTTTACGCGACTGACACCGATTTGTTTACATCAATTGGATAATATTGTAACGCAATACGTTAAAAATAGATACAAATGGTAAGTCATGCATAAAATCACATGCTCGTTTAAATATCAAAGTATAGCATAAGAACACTACAGTGCCTCTAAACATTTGGTTCATTTATTATACTATACTAATTATGATGTAATAAATATTCTATATCGTCTCATTTATATTATATGTTGCCCAATTTAACCATTGGATATGTCACGTCCGAAATCGGTGGTTGTTGACTTTCACCGGTGAATGTCGACAAACACCAAATACGTCGGTGAAAGATTTCATTACATTCTTGTACATTCGGACCCTCACCGGTGTATGTCGACAATCACAGATATGCTTTGGTGAATGTCCGAAATATTTATTACATTCGATTTGATATGAATTTATTCGTGTATATAATTACATTTATTCGATATTTTAACCCTACACTGACGTTTTTTTAAGGTTAAGTGCCACTGCCCGGTATACATTTGCCCGGTATACCCAACACTGATGTTTTTGTAAGGTCAAGTGCCACTGCCCGGTTTACCCTAGAGCAGGGATGGCGAACCAATGGCACGCGTGCCATTTATGGCACGCGACACAATATTTTGGGCACTCCACCGATCACAATTGTTATTACACTATGAATTGTTATTACACAAATGTTATTACACTATGAAGCATATGTAACAATTAAATTAAAATTCACAAAAAACACACAAAATAATAAACAATTATTAATAAAAAATTAACAATTAATGCTAAAAAATTAACAATTAATGCTAAAAAAACAATTAATAACCCTATTAAACAAGCTAACAATAAATAAGTAGCAAAAAAATTAACAGACCTGCTCAAACTAACATCTTACAACCTAATATAAGTTATTTGTCATCTAATCTGCAGCAACAGAAGTAACACTGGTGTTACTTTAAGTTGAATTACGCGTATAACTGAGACATTGCAAAATTTATTATTTTTCGTAGTAAATAAAGAGTTTTGAGTTGATAGTATTTAGTATTATTATTTTCCCAATAATCACGAAGTCAAAGTTATTTGACGGCACGCCTATGACCTAATCAAACAATTTTTTAGAAAAAAGGGCACGTTGTTCTATAAAGGTTCGCCCCCCCTGCCCTACACTGATGTTTTTTTAAAGTTAAGTGCCATTGCCCGGTATACATTTGACCGGTATACCCAACACTGATGTTTATTTAAGGTCAAGTGCCATTGCCCGGTATATATTTGCCCGATACTCCAAACACTGTTGTTTCTTCTAATCTATCGTCAGTAAGTATTAAAATATAGAATAACTATAAATATATGAAATAAATATAATAATATTAACGAATAAATTTATATCAAATTGGATATAACAAATATTTCGGACATTCACCAAAGCGACTATGTGATTGTTGACCTTCACCGGTGAGAGTCAGAAATAAGGGTATTTAGCAAATATTTCGGACATACACCAAGCGACTACGTGAATGTTGCCATTCACCGGTGAATGTCGACATTCTCCAGATTTCGGTGTTTCACCGTAACAGATACACAAGCTAAACAAGTGCAATCCGGTTTCAGACACGTGAAAACAATGATAATGTATGGTATCACTTAAAAATTGAGATTTTACATAGATTCTTAGAGTGTGTCTAATAGTTTGGCCAGGAACTGTTTATACTTTCGCTCTAAATGAATAAATTTAATATTTTGTTGCTAATAAATGAATTCCAACATTCTCTATACAACAGGTAATTCTCTGAAGATCCAACCATTCACTTTTCCTCCAGAATCTGTAATAAGAGAGAGGGCGAGTGCCACATGCACGTCATCATTTGGAGAAAAAATGAGTTTCAGTTGGTTGAAAAACGGGAAGAGATTAACCAAGGGAAAAAATATAGACATCAGGTCCTTCCCAGATCTCTCAGCTCTCGTCATTGATCCATTAACTGAAGAAGATTCCGGGAATTACACCTGCATCGTCACCGCACGTGGAATGAAAACCAGCCATACAGCAAATCTAGAAGTCTTAGGTAATAAACCTTTAAGTTCTGTGCTGCATTATAGTGAATACGTTGAGAATGCTTTTATTTCTCGTTTACAAGCGAGATCTATAAATCCCTCGGAATAATTTAAACTGTTCACGTCATGGCGATCGAACTCTTTTTATTTTAATTTGCTGCCAAAAGAGAGATTGATAAAATGACGTTGAGCTGTCTTTTCGCATCCAAATTCTATATTCGTTGCCATCTTCAAAAATACTTTATAAAAATGACTGCATTTTGCATAATTAAGATATATATATATATATATATATATATATCTTTCAGTTTAAAAATACATACTTATCGATATATATTTCCAATTGCAGTCCCACCATCTTGGGTACACGTGCCACGTGACGTCGATGCCTTGAGTGGAGACACGGTTTTCCTAGATTGTAGTGGTCAAGGAACCCCTAAACCTTTGACTACATGGTATAGAAAACAAGGTAATAATCTTTATTTGACGCAATATCCACTTCTTGTCGCTACATTAAAAGAGATTATTTTAGTTTTATACTACAAATGCCTTGAAAACCAAGTATATAATTTCAGTTTTTTTCTTTAATTTATAAAGTTTGCAAATGTATTTAAAATATTATAACTCAATTGAAATAAATTTGTGTATGTTAAGTTTAAAAGCAAATTTTATTTATAAAGAACAATTGCTTAAAAAAAAACGAACTTGCATAGATTGGTTGTGTTATGCTCTTATAATTAATTTTTTGACGATTAGTGTTTTCACCTAAGAAGAATGCCAATAGAACAATTGTGCAACCTGTTACACTAACAGACAAAAATATTTTCTTAGTAATAAGAATACGGTCTGTCTCAAACATTTAAACACTCAGCAAAATTTCGATAAATATTGAAAAATGTGTGGCGTAATGACTCTCACTGAAATATAATGTTATCCTAAAATATTCGTTAACTAAAATTTTATTAATAGTTTCGTTAATAAAATAGTTTGTGATTTCTTAAAATTTTGTTCAAAATAACTACTTCAAAAATTTTAAGCAATTTATGAAATTTTTAAGAACTGAGAGATTGGTTGGTATTTCTCATATTTCCTCCCAAGCGTGAAGACAGGCAGATTATTTCTAACCAAGAGCTCCAACAGTGTCGAAATCTCGAAATTCGCAAAGAGAAAAATTATAAATTAAAATCGGCAAAATGAATCTTTCTGAAATTTTTAGTATTTTAGATTGATTGAAGTGAGGTGTTTATCACAAGTGTTGAAGAACAGAGACCCAAAACTGATTGTATAAACTGATAGACAAATTTCGAGATTAGCAAGAAGGCAAAATATGTCAATTTGCCGAATAAGACTGTCTATAGACTTATTTGAGAATTCGATGTATCATTTTGAAAAAAGAGCATTTAAGTTTCTTAAGAGCATTTTTGATGAAGAACACCACCATTTCTTTACCAGGCTTGTTTCTATGCATTGTACTGTTATTTTGTTGAAATTCCGAAGACTTGTAATGCCACTAATAGAAAAGAATACCAAAGGGCAGTTTGGTGTGAAAATATTTACTTTTGAAAAATGTCGCTTATCTTTTTATTGCGCTAATCTTAGCAATATTTACCATTCAAGTTAGATACAGCAAAAACTGAAAGTACAAATAATGAAAATACAAACATTTCCAACTAATCCTGACATCGACAGGAAGACAGCCACCACTCTCATCAGACTAAGAACAAAACATCATAAAAACATGAAAATCTCTGCAGAGGGGACTAGAAAATGTCAAAACTGTGGCAACTGTCTTAATGTGGAACTCACACCATATCATGTTTTTAACTGGCCTGAACGCCTTCACCTCTTCAACTACCCTACAGAAGAAGATTTATATTCATTTAATGCCATAGAGATAGTAAAGAATATTCAAGCACACCATGAGATATGATTCAATTGAGGATACGACACCAACCAACCAACAAATATTCCTTTAACACTTAGCTCTATAAATTTTCGCACAAGAAGTTCTAATCATTTTAGCACATTAACATAGGTAATATCTTTATGTACATGAAAGTGATTTTAAAAACTAAAAAAAAACTGATATTAGCTTTAGATGGAGGTGTTCACGAGTATTGATTTATTCATTTATTTAACTAGGTGACCAGACAGAGTTTAGACCTATAAGGGTCTCGAATCACTTAAATGCATTGACCAATGGGACTCTTATATTAGTTTCAATCCAAAAAACAGATGAAGGACTTTACAAATGCAATGTTTCAAACAATATTGGATCACCTCTTCTTAAGACAGTTGCAGTCAAAGTTATAGGTATGTAAAAAGATAGTGCTCTAAACACGCAGTCGCCATTTGTTATTATCTGCACAGTTGTGTACTATGATAATTTGTAATAACTAGCATTTTTTTATGTATACGTAAAAGCATTCTGAAAGAAGTGTGAACATGAGTAAATTATGAATATTTGTCAATATTTTTTTTTAAAAAATATGTATTAATCAGACATGTTTGCATAATTTTATTTTGACTGTTTATAATGACGTGCTATTATATGCTGTGTATAGTTTGCAAGTAGTTTTATCGTAACGTAAATACAATAATAAAGTGGCTTGTTACTAGTTGTTGGTATTCAAGTTAACTTAGTATATATTATATATTTTTTGTCATATAATTCATTTTAATCTGTATTCTATTACGATAATGACAACTGAAATTCGCTTATTGTTTTTGTTTATCTTATAAAAAGTAGCACTCTAAACTGCAAAGCATATTTCAACCATCTAGTCCGATAACAAAATTTATGAAGTAAACCTGCAGCAAAAATCTAAATTTCTCTGTGCAGTCTGACAGTTAATTAAGACTGTACAAATTCAGCTTAATCTAACACATGTATTTACAAAATTTGGTAAATGTAAGATTCTAAATATTATAAGAGTAGGTAAGTAAGTACTTCATTTAAGGCAAACTAGAGCTGCACTAATGGGCTATTGGCGACGGTCTGGGAAATATCCCTGAGGATGATCCAACCATGTGACATCGCAATTTTGATCTTCTGCAGAGGGTGTGTAGAACAATTTAACGATGATCAATACCGCACACCCTTGGTCTCCATGCAGACTGATCAAAGTGGTCAACCACCCGCTTAGTGACCACAGCCAGTGATGCTTGACTTCGGTGATCTGCCAGGAACCGTGGCTTTGCAGCCAGTCCACTGAGAGACCTAAAAATTATACTTTATGCTGTTTAGATATTTAATTTAACATTATGTTAGTTGAATTCTATGCAATGATGCTAAAAACTTGGAAGAAATTCATGCAGAGTCAAATCTTTAACTAAGTAACAAAAAAAAATCTTTACTTCTTTGCCCTCTTAATTCAGCTTTTAATTTTTTTTTTCAAAACAAATTTAGAGGTGTTTTAAAATGGAGTCTCTGCAGTTTTTCCTTATTTGTTTGTTCGCTTCTTAAAATTACAAGTAAAATCAAAGCGGAAAAAAAAATAAAAAATCTGCAGTTCTAGATGATTTCTGCAGCAGATAACCTGCTGCTTAGGAAACATTTAAAATAAAGAGAGCAATTACTTTTTTCTATCCTGATTATAACTTGCAAAACGATGTTATATTGAGTTCATTAACCGCTTTATTTAAAATTTGTTTTTAAAGTTTTCGTTACATATTATCTCTATATATATTTCTCTTACACGGCGACAAAAAAAAAGCCTCATTACAACTCCCCGAATAGCAACGCTAGAAAATCGACCCATGATTGCCGCTAAAAATGCCATATGCCAGATCTAGCTGAGATGGCTCAACATATAGCGCTTTTAAAAACGGAAACTGAAATAACCAGAGAGAGCATAAGCTAGGCAAAGGTGAGTAGTTTTTGTCGATAGATCTCTATTTCAGTATTTTGTCGAAATAGTATTTAGTATTTAGTATTTTGTCTTTTTTTCACGAATTTATATATTATGAATTTATTTGACGATTTTTGATTTATATCACGAATTTATTTGTTTTACTAGAATTTATTTTTTTATGCCGGTTTTCCCATTGCAATTCACTTATTTCAATTTTTAATAGACCTAATTATATTCAAAATTTTAGCCTTTTTAAAGAGATATCAGTTTTAGAAATTTTATCTTAAGATTTTATACTATAGCACATTTCTAATAGGTTTAACGAATTACATGTCATTTATTTGAATTCAAATTTATTTTAATGACTTAGTATTTACTAAAAAGATGTAATTTTTAAAAAAAAAGTTGTTATATGGATTTGAATGATTGTTTTGAATTCTTAGAATTTGTGCCTAAGTTAGTAGCGAGCGAAGCAAACCATATAAAATTGCGTAGCAATTTTCGGGGGTTGGCGAGCGTTAGCGAGCAGGGGGCGCAGCCCACTAGTTCTAGTTATTGCCGTATCCTTTTTATGTAACGAAAGTTATTGTTGTTGGGATCATTAAGTTTGATTATAAAAATACTCTCTTTAATGGATGCAACACTTTTCGTGATTATTTTCAACCCGATGGTGTGACTCATTTCAAACTTTAAAGATTTAAAACTTTTCTGTTCTATTTGTTGATTTACGTTACTGCTTCCGCCATCATTCTTTTAATATTGCGTGTGCAATAATACAGATAGATATTTTACAACGCTATATTTTTCTATTTTTTCTTCTGAGGGGTAAATCTTTTGCTGTATAGTGTAGGTTATACGATTTGTACTCTTGACTTTATTGTTAATGCTAAATTACTTGTCATTCCTGAAATTAAGAAACTCTAGATTGATCCCGGAGACTGTATGTAGCTTAAATTTGTGCATTCATGTCTTCTAATTTTGTTAACAAAAATGTATTGTTTTTCTCTGATATTACTTTTTCTGTCGGAAAACTGAAAAGTCTTTTCCTATATGCATAGCCGTAAGTAGCACTTAAGAATATTTAGTTCAAAATTTTTTTAGCATTGACTACTGTAAAAATTTTGAACTAAATACTTTTAAGTGCAACGTTCGGCTACGTGACTTGTCTGAAAGTACGTAGTGCTACGTGAATTGTCTGAAAGTACGCAGTGCTACGTGACTTGTCTGAGCTTACGCAGTGCTACGTGAATTGTCTGAACGTACGTAGTGCTGCGTTAATTATCTGAACGTACGCAGTGCTACGTGAATTGTCTGAACGTACGTAATGTTGCGTGAATTATCTGAACGTACGCAGTGCTACGTGAATTGTCTGAACGTACATAGTGCTGCGTGAATTGTCTGAACTTCGGTATTTTTCTTCAGTGAAGGCATGCTTGTTCTAGATTAGAAATCTTTTTGACGCATAGCAGTTAGACTTTTAAAGCTCACTGTTTATTCTAATCACTTTATTATGATCTGACTTATTTATTAACACGAGTGAAAGCGTTGAAAATTTACTAAAAAATTGCTTGAGTTATGCATACATAACTCAGATAATGATTTTTTTTAAACACTCTCTGTTCTTAGTTATACCATAAGGTGATCACTAATGGCGACTGGTCTTATATTATGAATGAACATTTATAAAATATGTTGACTTTTAAAACTACACTAGTGGACAAAATTAAGAGATGGAAAGCATTTTCGCACATGCAAGATACCCGCACACCGCTCCATGTGTTTGACAATGGTTCCGTAAATGCCCAGAGATACAGGCAAGAGGTCCTAGAGCCCTATGTGCGTCTTTTCAGGGGCGCTGTTGGCCCTGTGTTCATCTTTATGGACAACAATGCGCGACCACATAGGGCTCTCATGGTTGATGAATATCTGGAAAGCGAGGATATTCAACGAATGGATTGGCCAGCCAAATCCCCTGACCTGAATCCTATTGAACATTCTTGGGATGCTCTTGGGAGAGCTATTGCGATGCGCCAACCTCCCCCCAGAACCATTCAGGAGTTAAAAATTGCTCTGGTGGAAGAATGGGAGGATCTTCCACAAGTCCTCCGTAACTCCCTTATTAACAGCATGCATACTAGTTGTGCATGCTGTCTGTCTGTCAGGGGTGACCATGCACCATACTAGAGGCAACACACACTGTACAAGCCTCACTTTTATTGTCATCTTTTATCCTTAAGTTCAGACTACATTAAATTTATTGGCAATAGGTCTTGCCAGTGAATGGCACTTTCATTTTTGTTTTGCATACTTTATTATCATGGAATAAGCCATACCAAATTTCCTTTATTTATATTCAGTATTTTTTTAGATATTTGGGAAAATGTCTCCCATCTCTTAATTTTGTCCACCAGTGTAGATGGATCCTATTACAGCTTCAAACCACATCAGTACGGCAATTAATTTAAGTCTTGTGTTCAATTCAATTGAAAAATCAGCCTCTACAAACGGTAATACAAAGTAACAATATAGGTTCATCACTCCAAAACAGTGTTCCCCATGACTTTTGTGTACCCTTTTCGTAACACTGTGTACCACTAATAAAAAATGAATCTATTTTTTTAAAAAATATGTTTATTTAGAATAAAGTTAAAAATCCCAACTGGCTGTGGACACCACTCATTATTAACTGTTAACTCTGCAAAAAATAGCCAATAGAAAAATACGCAATGGTAAATTTTCATGGCTAGCTTTGTTTTTAAATAAGAAATTTTAAAATATTCGTTTGTTGCAAGACATTTCACCTAAGAACGCGTACCCCAGCTAAACTGTTCCCGTACCCCTGGGGCTACGCGTACCACACTTTGGGAAACACTGCTCTAAAAGACAGTTTCGGTCAAAGTTATTGGTAAGTAAAAAAGAAAATTATTTTGTACTTCTAAAATAAAAGAATTTTAAAAGAGTGGATATAATTACATTATTTGTATATTTTATTACATTGCTAAGCGTAAAGGTCAAGCATTTTTTACGATTATTGAAGGATTTTTACTGTAAAAGAAATGTGGAGTATTGATTAAGCTATTTTTTTTATTTATTATTTATTAAATTTTCAAAGCGTAATTTAGCATGCACTTTATAAGTTGCAATTGTCACTGTTTAAATATAGCGCAATTGTCTTTTAATTTTTTTTTCTTTTTACAATTACAGACTCGTAATTTTCTTCGTATTTTGTTTATTACTTCATAGTGAATTTGGAGTCACGGATTGTAATAATTTCAAATTGATTATTGAAATTTATTTATTCCAACTTGTCTGGAATTACTGAGCAAAGATTTTTGAAATAATAAATTGGTACAACTTAAAGTAAGCTCTAATAGAACAGTAAAGTATGCGGCTTGAGGTTAAAATGAGCCCGTTAATTATGTGCGTAATCTTCAGAATATCTTGTCTTGCGTTCGTATATTCACTCTTTTGTTTTTCATTTGTTTGTATATTCATACATTCTCATTTGGTACATTTTTTGTATTATGCAATACCACACAGCAAGGCCGTAGTCAGGATATTTTTTCGGGGGTGGGGGGATATGGTAAGAAGCAAGGACAGTTTCACAGACATGCAAAGAAGGGGAAAAACATTGCAACAAATATTGTTTATTCTGTTGTTTGCAAAAGTTAAATTAGTAGTTAAAATATATTACATGATACTTATTTTTCAATTAATATTACATAATAATTATAATCAATTTGTAAACAAAGTTTACAAAGACATGCGATGGGGATTTGAAGAAAATTTTTCGATTGCTTTCTTTGGGACAAACCAGAATATACCGAAATATGCTTAATAAAGTTAGTTAATAAAAGGTTTGAAACGACAGTTTTTGTTTTTCTTTTTACTGAGAGGCTCAAAGAAAGACTAAAAAGTTTGAATCCCAGAATTTCGAGGGGGTGGGGGAATTGTCCCGACGGTCCCCCCCCCTGGCTACGGGCCTGCCACAGAGGTATATTAAATGTAATAAAAAAGAAATGTTTATGTACTTTTATCTATTTTTTTAAATACTTCTATACATTTTTATATTTTAGAATTACTTTTTATTTCGCTGTAGTTATTTTAAAAAAAAATTTCAAGTGTTTTAAACTGTATTCAACATTTTCAATTTAATAATGATGTCATGAAAGTTTTATTAAATCTGTTTGTGGAAAATATTTATATTACTTCGAAACAATTTCGATTGATTTAAATAATTAAGACAAATTTTAGTTAATTAGTTTTTTTAACATCTGAGACGTTTATTATTTAAGACTATGAAAAAATGAATTATATGAAAGAATGAAATAATTTTGTAAGATTTGTTTGACAGTTTTCAAAGCTATAATAATAATCGAATGTTACATCGATTGTAATAATCGAAATATTGTAATAATGTAATAATCGAACAATTACATTTGAAGAAATAAAATTAGGCTTTCATTTATATCTATATAACACCAATCAAGGTTTTGAATTCTTTTAATTCCCCTCTCAATTTTCAAACTTACAAAAAAGTAATTATAGATCAAATTAGCTGTCAAGTTGATAAAATCAAAATTTCTTTAATTTTTATTTAGCGTATTTTGTATGAAAATTATTTACAATTATTCTCTGAATGTTATCATTGAATACGTAAATCTCTTAAAAAATATTTTTGTCAAAAAATTAAAAATTGAAGGAAAAAATATTAATTTATTTCAGAACTTACATTGAACATCTCTTAAAAACTTGTAAAAAATGATACATGTTTCTTATTTTGGAAAATTTTTTATTTAACTGTAAATACAAAAATTGCACATTTTAGTTCAAGAATTGAAACACTGATGGCGCTGTGAATCAATGTTTAGCTCTCGCTATATGCCGCCCTTGGAATAAAGCAAAGCGTTTATTGAATATTCGCGATTTATTGCATCTTCATTACAAAGTATTCAACTGATCTTTCAAGTAATGTGTTACCCTAATGCAAAATGTTTTCTAATAAGGATCTATCTATTCATATTTATGGGAAGCTTCACTCAGAGATTCGTTTTGTGTAAGTATTGCATTTCTTTTTTAATTATTCTTATGTCTACAATAAATTACTTTCACAACAATTTTTTCTATACTTTTAGTTGAGGAATAATTAATTTATTGATTAGAACATTTTGAATGATTTGTATTTATATTTTGAATGAAATTTTCCAAAAATCATTGACGTTTATTAACTACAGATTATGTTCGGATTGTCAGATATACTTCTCTCTCATTAATGCATGTTATTTTAATCGGCGATATTTTACATCTTTAAATCGGTTTTAACATTCGATATTTTTGTTTCGAATTTTTGAATACTTTTGGAATTAGCATTAGGAAAAATGCTAATTCAAACTATAATTCATGTTTTATGTAGCGCTGTGTCATCCTCCATTTTAAACTACTTTATATTCTTTCATAAAATAATTTCAAGTAAATGGATCAAGATACTGTATCAAATTAGATAAATGCGTCTAGATACTATTTCAAATAAATGCATCAATAAATGTATCAAGATACTTGCATCTAAGTATCAAGATACTATTTCATATCTTTTGTTATGAATTTAAATAAAGCGTAGAGGATTTCATTTTTTTTAAAATTTAGATTAAATTAATTTTTAGATATTTAACTAAGATTTACCACACCATGAGAACTATTTTCGAGATCTTTTTCATAATCAAACTATTGAGTGTCATTTTTTTATTTTAATCATTGCTTTCAGAAAGATCAATTCATTATTGAGTGTTTTTTTTTTTCACTTTCTCTTTCCTGCATGTGAATTCCATACATCGACTTCTACTAATAATCTTATCAAAGTTTTACTCAAAAAAATTTTGAAAATCAAAGAATAATGATTAAAATAAAATGAGAAATTTAATAAAACCGGAAAAAGAAATGACTTTTACGCATAAATTTTTTGAGTACTTTATTAAAAAATTATTGAAAGTAAAAACATTTTAAATTTAAGAAATAGCTGATATAGGAGCTCGAAAGTATATTTTAAAACAAGTTCTCTGGCTGCAAAGATAGCGATTTAATTATTTTCGTTTTCATTTTTTGTTCCTATTTTAGATCGGTTTTTCTCTTCCTAAAGACTAAAATTATTAAGAGGACGCCTTTTGTCCTTCATTACTAATTTAAAAGAAAGAAAAATCAAGTTTAGATTAAATCATGAAATTGCCAAAAAAAAAAATATTTCAAAATATTCAAATGCAAACAAATTATGAGAATTCTCCGTTGCGTAATACTAGGCTATCATCTCATAATTTATTTTTAGTTGCAAAATTTTCTTTTCAGTATTTAAAACTTCATGTCTAGATTTACTCACTTTTTTCTACACTTTTAAAAGTTAAATTAGTTATGAAAGATAAGAAGAATTTGTGTGGAAAGTTTTCTTCCCCAGTATGGCGTTAACTCTGTTGAACATTTAATTTTATGATTCTGTGATTTAACATTATAATAGCCTCAATCTTCTTTTGTAATAATCATTTTAGAATAAATTTTTATATCGGAATTATACTCTGTCATTAACGCATTATTTTTTTAAAATTGTTATACTGCAAAATTTCTTCTTATTACGTTTTTATTCTGTTAACTGTGGATTTTCTGTAATTTGGATATTCGTAATTTCTTTTGATAAAAACCAAATAGACTCATTTGGCGTATATTGAATAAAATAAGCAATTCTTTGAAGACACTTAGCTTTTTTAAAATTATTAAACTTTCACTTTCTTAAGTACTTAATTTTCGGATTTTATAATTCGCCTTTGCAATAGCCTCAATTTATTTTTCTGATAATCATTTTAGAATAATATCAGATTTATTTTCTGGCATAAATGCATTATTTCATGATTGTAATACTGCAAAATTTCCTATTATGCTATTTTTAATCTATTAATTGTTGATTTTCTAGAATTTGTTGTATTTTTTTTTGTTGATAAAAATAAAATAGACTCATTAGGCTTATATTGAATAAAATAGGCAATTCTCTGAAGATTCAACCATTTAATTTTCCTCCGGAATCTGTAATCAGAGAGAGGGCAAGTGCATTATGCACATCTTCATCTGGAGAGAAAATGAACTTCAATTGGTTGAAAAATGGTAAAACTCTAACCAAGGGACAAAATGTCGACATCAGGTCTTTCCCAGACATCTCAACTCTCATCATAGACCCTCTTTTAGATGAAGATTCTGGAAATTACACTTGCATTGCCTCAGCAAGAGGAATGACAGCAAGTCACACAGCAAATCTAGAAGTATTAGGTATGTATTTATCCCCATGGAACTTTTTGATCCTATTTTCTCAAAATACCGATAAAACACTTTTAAAAAAGTCTCGCACCATAAAGCATGTAGAAAAAGTGATTGTATCTTTCTGTGATAACCAACTTATTCCCTCTAAAAAAATTAAATTGAAATAAATTTGTTTTCTACAGCTTTTAACTTTTTTTTTAATCAATGCATTAAAAATGAAAATGCTTAGTTGTCATTCTTATTTGGTTCTTGAACAAAGTATTTTACATCGAGTTTTATTTCTTCTCCTTTTAAGAAAAATTTAAAAAATCTAAAAAGTATTTATTCAAAACATTTTATAAAAAATGACAGTAGATTAAAGAACATGAACTAATAGTAGCTTGGTTCTTGAACAAAGTATTTTACATTGAGTTTAATTTTTTCTTCTTTTAAGAGAAATGTATAAAGTCCATTAAAACATTTATTTAAAACTTTTTATTAAAAATGGTAGAAAATTAATGAATATCAACTAATGGTAACTTGGTTTTTGAACAAAGTATTTTACATTGAGTTTTATTTCTCCTCTTAAGAAAAATTTTTAAAATCTAAAAAGTATTTATTTAAAACTTTTTATAAAAAATGACAGTAGATTAATAAACATGAACTAATAGTAACTTGGTTCTTGAACAAAGTATTTTACATTGAGTTTTATTTCTTTATCTTTAAAGAAAAATGTGTAAAAACAAAAACAAAAAAATTGTCTGAAACTTATTATAAAAAAGGACAGAGAATTAATGAACATGAACTAACAGTAACTACAGCACAAAGCGTCAAAATTATTCACTCTTTTAAAATGTATTCATGCTTTGTAGTTCCGTTGAATACCATGTCTGAAGGCGGTACTACTCATACACTACCTGGCCAAATTATTAGACGCACTATAAGATTCTATGTAAAATTATAATTATACGGTGATATTATGCAGCTGTATTGTTTTTATGTGACTGTTAGCACTTGTTAATGGTCGCATATCAATGGGTTAACATTGTCATCCAATACGGTAAAAATAAATACAACTAGGAAGTATCATAAAAAAATCTCTTGAATAAATACCCATTACATGTAAGCTTAAATATAAAAGTATTGCCTATAAACTCGAGCAAAACATACAATTATTATTGCGCTTCCGTGGGTTTAATAATTGGGTCGAATTATTATCATATACTAATATAAAAAAAAATAGTACGTGGAGTCCCTCCGCGCGGAAGAAGTGAAACTTCGTAATGTGGAAATGAAAATAGGAAGGGGTAGAAATTGATTTTTAGTGAAATCATATTGTTTCTTTAAGACAAACTTTATTAACATTGCTTACAATGGAACGCATCTTTCAATTATCATTTTCGAGTGGAGAAATATCCAGATCTATAACATTTACAATGGGATTATGATTACTAAAGTAAGAAACGAAATGTTCTATTTTTTCAATATTTCTTACAAAAACTGCATCATTTTTAGTTCCCCCTGTTGGATCCTTCCCACCATTTATAATTTACAATCCAAATTTGTCTTTAAGGAAGGTTAATAATGTTTCAGGTAACGGGAAATTCACATTAAAATCTCCTGCAAGGATGACAGGCGGCTCGTTGCCATGGTAGCGTTAAACGTTTAACGCAACCTTGTTGGAAATCGCATTAGAAGTTACACTTCACTAACTGATATAATAAATATTCTATATTTATATTATATATCGTCTCATTTAACTAATGGATACTTTAACGTTAACAGTCGCGTTGAAACAATAAAGCTGTATCACCAGATAATTAAGATTTAACATAGAATCGTATAGTGCGTCTACTAATTTGGCCGGGGAACCGTATAAAACCTAATAAAATACAATTTACAATATAAGATATAAGCATTTTTGATATTTAAAAAAGTTAAAATAAACTGGACATTTTACGCTTATTATCTCAGAAACATTTTATACTTATTTTCTCTTTTTGATGTGCAGTACCACCCTCTTGGGTCCACGTACCCCATGACGTAGATGCCTTGAGTGGAAATTCAATATCTCTGGACTGTGCTGGACAAGGGACTCCGAAACCATCAACAGCCTGGTATAGAAAACAAGGTAATGTCTCTGAACAAATATTTACTAAAATAATGACTTCAAACATCATATTTCTGTAATTTTATGCGTCATTTTGACTGATAGACAAACTTCAGTGAGAACATAATATGTTGATCGCACACATTTGAATTAGCTGCCATAGATGGCGCCACTGACATTTTGACGGATAGACAAACTTCAATGAGAACATAATATGTTGATCGCACACATTTTAATTCTCGGCCATAGATGGCGCCACTGACATTTTGACTGATAGACAAACTTCAATGAGAACATAATATGTTGATCGCACACATTGGAATTCCTGGCCGTAGATGGCGCCACTGAAAAAACAAGAACAATCGCACCCTCTCTACCTAAACAGGCATACGTCAACAACATCGCGCACATTTCCCATAGGACTTTATGTTCAGAGGGACTAACATCACTGCACAGAAAGCAAAAATGTAAATGGATCACCGTGGATAACTTTTGATGTAATAATCGGATCTTCGCGCTCTGGGATGACCACAAAGTGGCTAATTAATTAATGCAGACATTTTATTAAGTTACTTTAAGGTATCCAAACTTGAACCGCTCACCTAACCCAAAGTATTAAGACTATATTTCTCAGATTGCGGCTACCTCCTATATTTTGGGGGTCAGAAATTCGAATCCATCGAAAAAAGGATATGTTTATTCTGAGAAAGTAAGTTTTTCTGTCAGTTTTCGTAATTTAAAATATCATCTGCATTCATTATTTAACATATTTGAGGTCATCCCCTAGAACCATTAAGATTGTATGAACGTGAACTGATTATTATTTCAGGGTGGACTGTTTTTTATTTTGCGTACCGTACATGTAGCTCCGAATGTTTTTATTTTACTAGAACTCCAATTAATTTTAACCCTATTGTGTCACACAAACTCTAACAACATCTCTCAGTATGTAAACATATATTACCAAAATTAGACTATATTATAAAAAAAAAGAAGAAAAAATTACTTATTATAGTGAAATTTATAGTGATGAAGTTTGCATCGGTAAACTACATTATCACTATACATTACATTACTAATATACGTTGACTTTGTTAGTTTACCTAAAGTTAAAAAAAGTAGTGAAACTTACACGGATAAGTTTTACAAACGTAATTATCATCTTCACGAACCACAATTTCTTTTCCAAGATTATTCTTAACATAATCCACTATAGATCAGCGAGTAAAACATTGGACTGTGATTATGAAGGACTATGGTTCGAACTCTGGAGGTGGCTTGATGTTAATCCTACTTCAGATCGATGGGTACGGGCCGGGATAGCCTGATCGGTAGGGCGCTGGGCTCCTGTCCGAGAGTTTGTGGGTTCGAACCCCGCCGGCCGTGTAGTAAAGTGACTGATGCACGTTCAATCTATCGAGTCGCCAAAAGTCCTCCATGTTCCCATAACAAATCAATACCTCTGGGGGTACTGTTCTAATCGTTCTCTGATTCAGGTCAAAAATTACGATCTGTGGATGAATGGATGGATGTATGACTGTGTCCGCCCTATAAACGGGTGCGAGGTATGGTGTGGCAGAAGAAGAATTCTTGGCCCTAGATGGCGCCACTGGAAAATCAAGAACAATCGCACCCCTAAACAGGCATACGTCAACAACAACATCGATGGGTACCAGCTTGTTGGAGAAGTAAAATGGCCGATGCGTGATGTTATCCATATTGTTGCCGTTGATCACAGAAGTGTGAAGCCTTACTGGTCCTCAACGGGGGGGAACGCTTCATATTTTGATTTTACTTTTTTTCATTATAATATTTTGAAATAAATTTGAGAAAGATATTTCATTTTTGATATTTAAATATTCTTTCTTTCTTTCTTTTAAAACAGGTGCAGATTTCATACCGATCTCCTCATCATCCAACCACTCACCGAACGGAAGTCTTTTGCTAATTTCGATTGAGAAATCCGATGAAGGATTGTACCGATGCAACATTTCAAACGGTATAGGATCTCCGCTCTTGAAATCAATCGCCATTAAAGTCATTGGTATGTACATTAAAGATACCTCATTTCATAACAATCAAGGCTTTTATATACATTTTGTATATGATAAGGTTTGTATTACTATACATCATTTGCATATTTATTCATATGTGTATAACGAAAGAAATGTGAACCAATTACCTAATTGTTTAATTTTACATTTTATTTTGCAACCGTCGTTGAACAGCCGACACAATTTTTGGGTTTACGACTATTAACCCCTTAACTATCGGTTAATTTTCAAGTCATAAGAGTGCCTATTTTTTTAAACTTTTGTATTTGTATTACGAATTTGATGAATGCTGATATCTAGTTTAAAACAAACTAACTATCTGCATTTACCTTAAGAATATTCTGGTACTGCCATCTGGTGTGTAAAATGAGAAATAAAATGTTTTCCGGGCCAAAGGAATGAATTAGTTTTATTCTTATTGGCCAGTCACTACTGAACACTGCAGCCCGTCACTATCACGGGAGCGAAAAATAGAGAGCGAAACCTCACCCCGTCATTTTCACGAGAGCGAGAAGGAAGGGTTTAATGTTCAACTACGCAGCCTCGCCATTTTGAACCCAGCCCAGAGGACGGTTTTCTAATGGTACTAACCCGCATTTGCATCACATGGAGAGGAAAACCGGGAGAACCACCCACCTGATGGCGTGGGGAATCTAACCCGTGATCCATCTAGCACTGAGGATATTTCGAGTCAACACTGTGGTCGGTGCAAGCCGGATGCGGAGTTCTATCGACCAGCCATTGCTGAGATTTGAACCTGGTTCACCTCATCGGAAGGTGAACACTCTATCGCCTGAGTCATCGCGGCTCATGCCAAATTGTTTGTAAAAAATAATGTTTGCTATTACCAGGAAAAATATTTATTATTTTATGATCTCGGCATGTAGAACTGAAATATTTTTTTAGTATTTTTATAAATGTAAATGTCATTCCTTATTAACTAACTACATTTCAATTTTTCTTATCTATAGTATTTAACCAAACATCTAATTAAAATGATTTTTTTTAAATATTTATTATATTTATGAATTATTGTAGTCCAAGTCAGACCTTTTATGCAAAAGATAGAAAAACTGAATGAGTGAGAAGATGTGCGATGATACATGATTTAATTTTAATCCAAAGAATGATGCAAATCACGATATGAAAACTGTGTTTAGGATCGGGCCATAACTCGCATGAGTTATGTTATCAAGATGCTGATAAAATACATTAATTGTACTAGCATTAGTGTGTTGAACTAATATTATTGTTTTTTAACTAAAGATGTTTACTGTTTTATTTCAAATAAACACTAGTTTTGTGTGATAATTCATAAAAATACTCTATAAAGATCGATTACACGTGGATCAACATGAAAATACCAAACGTGTGTAACAACTCCTATGGTGTGAATATCACTTTCACTTTTTAATACCGTCATCTTTTGATGCCATGACAAGTTGCTTGAATATTGGGTTCTCATCACTGTGATATATAATATTACGATCCAAATATTATGTTATTAATTAGCTATATATATATTTCTCTTACACGGCGACAGAAAAAAGCCTCATTACAACGCCCTGAATGGCAACGCTAGAAAATCGACCCATGATTGCTGCTAAAAATGTCACATGCCAAATCCAGCTGAGGTGGCTCAACATATAGCACTTTTAAAAACGGAAACTGAAATAACCAGAGAGCATCAGCTGCGGCAATCTCATACTATTAAGCTAGGCAGAAGTGAGTAGTCTTTGTCGATAGATCTCTATTTTAGTATTTTGTCGAAAGAGCTTTTTTTCTCGAATTTACATATTACGAATTTATTTGACGATTTTTGATTTATATCACGAATTATACTACAGCACATTTCTAATAGGCTTAGCGAATTACATGTCATTTATTTTAATTCAAATTTATTTTAATAACTTAGTATTTACTAAAAAGATGTAACTTTAAAAAAAAAATGTTTTTATGTGGATTTGAGTGATTGTTTTAAATTCTCAGAATCTTGTGCATTTGCAATGTACCTAAGTTAGTAGCGAGCGAAGCAAACCATATTAGCAATTTTCGGGGGTTGGCGAGCGTTAGCGAGCAGGTGGCGCAGCCCTCTAGTATAATACATAACGTGATTAATAATATCATATATGGATCTTAATAATGTTGTCGTTCCAGAATATTTGAATATAATCTTCGTGATGACTTATAATGATAAACTTGAATCGGAAACTGAAAACCGTGTTATTCTTGTTTCTATTGGCTAATAGTGCTCCTTCATGTATTTCATTAATATATCTTATGACTCTTTTGTGAGTATTTTATGACTATTTATGACTTATGTGAGTATTTTATTTTCAACTTGAAAGGACTGATGTTCACATGGACAAAGCTCCAAATATTAAATATCTTGTGAAAAACAAGCATTCTAATGGCGTAATCGTTTGCGAGATGCATTTGATTAAACAAAATGCGAAAAATAAGTATTTTATCAATGTTCTCTTGCCATTTACTAAAATTTGCTGCATAAACTAAAATAGTGAATTATTTTTTAAAAAAATGAAAAGTGACTATAGGAAATTCGTATAACCTCTGAAAATTACATTTTTTGTAACATTTTTATAAATATATTATCAATATATGTTGTTGTTGTTGCAGTTGATTTACGTCGCACTGGAGCTGCACAATGGGCAATTGGCGACGGTCTGGGAAGCATCCCTGAGGATGATCCGAAGACATACCATCACAATTTTGATCCTTTGCAGAGGGGATGGCACCCCCGCATCGGTAGCCCGACGACCTACACGCGAAGTCGAGCACTTTACGGTAGAACAGTTTAACGAGGACCTATACCGCACACCCTCGGTCCCTACGCAGACTAATCCAAGTGATCACCCACCCGCACACTGACTGCAGCCAGTGACTTCGGTGATCTGCTGGGAACCGTGTCTTAACGATCAGTCCGCTGCGAGGCATCAATATATGTATAAGATGAAATTTAGTTGCATAAAATAATTCTTATTCTTGGAATGCACTTTTGAAATTTTAACAAGTTTTAAAAAGTTTTTCTTTTAACCGTTTTGTGCGTCCTTAATTTTTGCATTGCGTATCACTTTCGTGTTTGAGGTCACGTATTACAATACAATACAATACATGCAATAAAAATAATATTTTGTATTTAAACTCTCGATCTTTCCCTGAATAGCAAAATAATTACTTGCTGTATCTTTGAAATCGTCATTGAAATTCATATTTTCTGAGCACCACTATTTTATACTTATATTATGTTGGTTTATTTTGCCAACTTTCCAATTCCAGTGGTTCGACAAATGGTACATAAAACTGTTGAATCATTTCTGATGAAATTCATGCTCTCTTGTACGATAAAATCTGTTTGTGTGAAAATTTCAAACTACTTAATTAGCGCAAAACATTAAGAACATTTTTATACAAGTTTAAGAGCATAAACCAAGTTAAGCACATAAACAAGTTTAAGAACATTTTGGCAATAATTGTGTTTCATCTAATATCTTTTACTATTATTTTAAGAGTATTCATATTATTTTAAGAATTTCATAGCTGTTTCTTGTCTTTATTACGTGATAATTACAGATCAAAATTGATTTTTATTACCATCACCAAGAAAAATAATCCATCAAATCGTGTTATTTATACATTGTACCATTGTTTCAATACGCAAATTTGACATATAATTTTCCCTGATTATTCTCATGTAACTTTCCTGAAAATTTATTCTTGAAAAATATTTGCATACATTTCATTATAAAAAGTGTATAACAAATATTTGTTATGTGTGCAATAAAAATTGCTTCGATTTTTAGTATTTTATGAAATTAATACGCTTTCAATGCAATTTTTTTTGTGCGAGATTGTTTATTGTATTTTGTTATAATACTGTAACATGCCGATTTATTTTCCTTTAGTTTAGTTTGCAAAATGAAAGAACGATGGCGCTGTTAGCCATTTAGTTCTAAGCATACACGCCATTAGTATATGAGTTAAGCGTTAGTGTCATCCTAACAGCTTCCTCTTTTGCAATGCAATCTATAGAAGCGTTTAGACCGGATAAAACTATTCTTGATCGACAAAAAATGTTTTCTTTTAAGTTGAGATTGTCTACTTGGATCCATTTTTATGCCTTTGTTTTCCTCTGTGGTACTATGATGTCTTTTCAACAAATCGAGTCAGGTAATTTGTATTCTAATTTTTGTGCATGATTTTCATTATTTGATAAAATAAACTTATTTTTGACATCTCACTTCATTGCAATAGAGTATATGTCAATGCAACAATGAGTCGAACTTTTAAAACAGTGACAGAAGAAAGTAAAAAAAAATATTGTAGCAAATAAAAATTTTACATGATATAATTTTTCCATTTCTTTACTATATTTGACTGATCTATAATATTGTAAGTAACTTAGGTTAACAACTAAGTTAAAAATTTTCACCTTCTTAATATTTCAATATTTAAATATATGTCTATTATAAAGTTGCCTTATAAATCATTTAAATTATTTTAAATTTTTATCAATAACAATTTTTGATCCCTTTTTTCATGAATAAATTAATTAAACCACTGTTTTAATAATTTTCTCACATTCATCTAAAAATTTGTATTTTTTTTAGCGTCAGTCAAAATGCAAGGAATTTTAAAAACAAATTTAATTTTTGTATTAATAAAGATTTAATAAAGCTTCATTAATGAGTAAATATTTCAGATGTAGAACAAGTAAATTAAGATTGTTATTTTATTTATTTAATTTTTTTAACGCTTAAAAGCACGTAAGTATTTGAAGCAAATATATCGGTTTATGAGAAAATGTATTTAGTTCGTATATTAAAAGTCCTATAAATTTGAAAATCTTTTTTTTAATCCGAGTGTTACTAATATATCACAAATCTTAGCATTATTCTTCTACTGTTCTTCTACTTTTTTTAAAAAACCATGTAAGAAATATTTAAATTTGTTATTGCTTCCTTTTTATTTTACCTAAATTTGTTATATTAGATTTTTATTTCGTCAAACCCAAAATCACTCGTTGCTTAATGTAGTTACTTTCCAGCCAACGCACTGATTTCTTTCAATATTATACGAGTGAAAAAAATTCTTCTGTTTAAAATAGAAAGCTTCAACTGATTTCTTTCTATATTATACGAGTGTAAAAAAATTATTCTGTTTAAAAAAGAAAACTTCAGCTGATTTCTTTCAATATTATACGAGTGAAAAAAATTATTCTGTTTAAAAAAGAAAACTTCAACTGATTTCTTTCAATATTATACGAGTGAAAAAAAATATTCTGTTTAAAAAAGAAAGCTTCAACTTATTTCTTTCAATATTATACGAGTGAAAAAAAATTATTCTATTTAAAAAAGAAAGTTTCAACTGATTTCTTTCAATATTATACGAGTGAAAAAAATTATTCTGCTTAAAAAAGAAAGCTTCATTTGGTTAATAACATTAGTAGCCGCTGCTTTTCTTAAATCCCCTTTTTTATTTCAAATAAACACAGAAATCATTTATGTATTTAAGTTAAATTTGTTTATTAGTCTTAACTTGTGTGTTTTCATTATCTGAATTTAGCCGAAAGTTCCTTGATGATTCCACCATTTCTCTTCCCGCCTGAATCATCGGTTGTCGGAAAAAGAGGAATAGCTGCTTGCACATCTTCTTCGGGAGAGAAAATGGACTTCAAGTGGTTGAAAAATGGTCAAACTCTGACCAAAGGAAGCAACGTTGACATCAGAACATCTCCCGACGTTTCTACGCTCATCATAGATCCTCTCACAGAAGAAGATACAGGAAATTATACCTGCATCGTCAACGCACGTGGAATGACGGCGAGCCACACAGCAAGTCTTGAAGTGTTAAGTAAGAACTGATATTTTCATTTTTTTTTTTTTTGAATCTTATTTTCTTCTAATTCAGTAATTATCTTTTTTTTTTGTTGTTGCGGCACACTTTTAACGATATCGAAATGTGACGGCCCACAATGAAAAAAATATGTATAAACGTTGTTTACTTACCTATAACACAACTGTGTAAAATAGTTTATGGTAATAATTTTGAGTGTTAAATAAAATAACACGTACAGCAAAAACAACAGTACGTTTATTAAGGAATTAGTTACAAGTTAACAGTTATTTATTTATTTTTTTTCCTGCTACTTATTAATTCTAGCTTGTCTTTTACAGTTATTAAATTTTTTTTCTAACATTAATTGTTATTTTTTGTGATTGCTTGTTAACTTGGGTTTTTTTTGTTGTTGCTAATTATTAACTTTCAGCTTTTTTGTTAGTTATCCTTTGTTGATTTGTCTTATAACTATTAATTGCATAGCTTATTTTAATGGTCAGTTAATATTTCCATTTCGTAAGTTAATATTTAGTTTGCTTTATGTTTTTAATTAATAATTTTAATAGTCATTAAATTTTCAACTTGTTTTAATATTTTCAGATTGTCAGAGACAGGAATATCGTCGTCAAAGATATTCACGCCATTAAAGCGTGTAAAAATTATAAAAAGTATTCACGTAATATTATATATATAAATGCTTTAACTTGAAGTTTACTCGTAATAAAAAATGCATTATAATTTTTACTATATCATTTCTAAAATTTTGGATGCACACTTTAAGAATTTGGCGGCAAACGAAAGTGCCGTGGCACAGGGGTTTCGAATCACTGTTCTAATCTATCTGCAACTCTATTAACAGATAATTATTATTTTTCCAACATTAAAAAATAATTCAACATTATTTATGAAGCTTAAATACTCAGTTTCTCACGAACATTGTTTAAAATATCAAAATTCATTGTTTAAAATATTTAAGTCAAAATTCCCAACAAAAGCGCTTACGGAAAATTCACAACGAATGTTGTTTCGTAAGAAGAAATAGGTAAACAACAATTAATTATTAATTAAAAATAGCTAATAATTAAAAACCCATATATAACTACCATGCGCTGCCATTAATCAATACTAAGAAATATTGCTATGAAACATTGTTTTACGATAAATATTTCAAATAGTTTCCGCAAATTTGCTCTGACCACAATATTTAATAAAATTTCAAGATAACTAAATATATCTGATTCATTTTCATTTTTTATGGAGTTTTCTTCTAATTCCGACCCTTTATAACATTATGTTTGGTAACATCTCTGGTTTACCGGAAGTGCTTTGTTTTTCTATATATATATTGTTATATATATATATGAAGGTTGTTTTGTTTTATTTTATATATGTTGTTTTGTTTTATATATGAAGGTTGCTTTGTTTTATTCAAAATGAAGAATAAAACAAAGAAAAATTATAGACAAATGAAAAAAAAGGGGGGGGGAANATGTAGCGTTAAACGTTTAACGCAACCTTGTTGGAAGTCGCATAAGAAGTATCACTTCAATAATTTTGAATGTTAAATAAAATAATATGTACAGCAAAAACAACAGTACGTTTATTAAGAGATTAGTGACAAGTTAACAGTTAATTTTTTTTGTCTTTTTTTTTTGCTATTTATTAATTATAGCTTGTCTTTTACAGTTATTAAATGTTTTTTTTTACATTAATTGTTATTTTTTGTGATTGCTTGTTAACTTGTGTTTTTTTTGTTGTTGTTCCTAATTATTAACTTTCAGCTTTTTTGTTAGTTATCCTTTGTTAATTTGCTTTATAACTATTAATTGCATAGTTTACTTTAATGGTTAGTTATTATTTTCATTTTATAAATTAATATTTAGATTGCTTAATTTTTTTAATTAATAATTTCAATAGTCATTAAATTTTCAACTTGTTTTAATATTTTCATAATAATAGTCAGAGATATTTACGCCATTAATGAGTGGAAAATTATTAAAAGTATTCACATAATATTATATATAAATGCTTTAATTTGAAGCTTACTCGTAATTAAAAATGCATTATAATATTTACTATATCATTTCTAAAATTTTTGGAGGCCCACTTTAAGAATTTGGCGGCAAACGAAAGTGCCGTGGCACAGTGGTTTTGAATCACTGTTTCAATCTATCTGCAACTCTATTAACAGAAAATTATTATATTTCCAACATTAAAAAATAATTCAACATTATTTATAAAGCTTAAATACTCAGTTTTTCCCGAACATTGTTTAAAATATCAAAATTCATTGTTTAAAATATTTAAGTCAAAATTCCCAACAAAAGCATTTACGAAAATTCACAACGAATGTTGTTTCGTAAGAAGAAATAGGTAAACAACAAATAATTATTAATTAAAAATAGCTAATAATTAAAATCCCATATATAACTACCATGCGCTGCCATTAATCAATACTAAGAAATACTGTTATGAAACATTGTTTTACTATAAATATTTGAAACAGTTTCTGCAAATTTACTCGGACCACAATATTTAATAAAATTTCAAGATCTAAAATATATCTGACTAAATATATCTAAATATATCTGATTTATTTTTTATGGAGTTTTCTTCAAATTCCGAACCTTTCTAACATTATGTTTGGTAACATCTTTGGTTTACCGAAGTGCTTTGTTTTTTTTTTTGTTGTCTTTTTTATATACATTTCCACAGAATTGTTTTAAAATCTTATCCGATAATTCTATTTATAGTTCCGCCATCTTGGGTCCATATGCCACGTGACGTCGATGCTTTGATTGGAGACTCTGTTTCTTTGGATTGTATTGGTCAGGGCACTCCAAAACCTGTAACTACTTGGTTCAAGAAACAAGGTTCTTTCATAATTGTTTTATTTATTCGTATTTATTTGCAAGTACTTTTTATAAATCATTCTAGCAATTCATTTAATGATAAATGAATCGTTACTTTCCGAGTAAAATTTATTTGAATTATCCGTATGGCAAAAAAATTACAAATTAAAATAATTTTTAAAAATGTAGTACAGGAATATATTTAACTGAAATGACTATAAGTAACTGGATTTTGAATAAAAATTAATTTATTGTAAATCGAATAAAAATAGATTATGTAAGACTATATTTTTTAAAGTTTTATTTATTTTTTAATTAAAATTTTTTTTAAATCTAATGAACCTTTATTATTTTATTACAATTAATCCTAATTATTTGTAGTGTTTTTTTTTTAAATTTGTAAGTACTTCTATGTAATTTAATGATTTTAAATTGTATCTTAAAAAACCGATTTCTTGTAATTTTTATTTCTTTCATATTTCAAACAAACTAATTCTGATCACTTTTCAAGAGTGAAAAATTATTTATACAAGCGTTTATTTGAAGAAATTTTCCGAAAAAAGACATGTGTGATATACTCCAAATTTTATTTATCAGGTGATAACGGAGATTTTTTGATCACATCGAACCACTTCAAATTTTCACCCAATGGAAGTTTGATATTGATTTCAATTCAAAAGTCCGATGAGGGTGTCTACAAGTGTAACATCTCAAATGGTATAGGATCTTCATTGTTGAAGACAATTGTAGTTAAAGTTATTGGTATGTAGTTCTAGAAATTCTTCCTCAACCGTTTTGATTATTTCTTCACATTAATAAATGATTTATAACTTGGTTGTAATGTAAAAACTTAAGCGAAGTTTTGTGACATTTATTGTGAAAGAAATGTGTTCCTTAAATTGTACTAACAATGCACCAGAATTATGTACAAAATTTGTACTAACAGTGTATCTAGAAATGCTGCAAAACAGATTTTATAAATAGGTAAAAATTATAGTATATATATTTAAGAAATTCAACTATTATATATTCACAATAAATTACTCAATTAAATATATTTTTAATTTATTGAATATGCATTCAATAAATTGAAAATAATTCCGATTTATTATAAATTCCAAAAATATATGTAATACAATTTGCTATAAATTATGTAATTCAACAATTCAATTTATTATTTTTATCTATTATTCATTTTGTATCACTTAATCAATTTCATATTTTTTACCAATTATTCAATTTATCATCAAAATCTTGCTGAAACAAATGTGTAATTTATTCGACTTGACTACTATGCTATAAAGCTTTGTTTCACTGGTGTCACCGTTTATATCTATTTAACATCATAAAATCAAAATTGAGTAGGTGAAATTTCATTTTTATCCTATTTGTTTGTTTTTTATCATAATTGTTTTTTTTATCATAATTGTTGGTTAATTTAATGTTTTGTTGTAATATTTTTTTATTACAAATTCCTGTTTATTTCAAGATAGGCTTATATATGCTATGAGTCTTGATAGTGGTCAGGCAGAGTGGTTGGTGCCTTATTTGGTGACAGTCAATTTTAAACCTCCATATTGGTGACATTCATCAATGACAAATGGTCCTATTGCATAATATTTTCAGTGAGTTTTGGCACAATTGGCACAATTGTACCAAACTATTTGTAAAGAACACTTTTTAAGGATTTCATTAGTATTTTTTTTTGTAGAATGGCATAATACTTTAGTTTACTCACTCATTTACATAATAACTATTTCATACAACAAACACTATTTAAATGGCATGAAACGGAACAGCTTATTGATAAAAATATAACGAGAAGCAAGATATTTCTGTATGATTATTGACATTCGAATTGTTTTTAATGTTGTTCGAGATATTTTTGTAATTAAAAAATATTTTTGTTAAAATTATTGTATATATAGTAAAAAATAGTCGAAAAAAGTAATATCATTTGTATTGTCATTTTTACTACCGAATTTTTTTATTTTAGTTCACAAATGGAAACACTGATGGCGCTGTATGTTGTTCTTTAATGATAATGTACGCCATTGGATTGCATGCTAAGCTTATGCACTATTCAATCGCTTTTTATCTAACGCGTTTTCAACATCGACTAATCCTTCTGTAACTAATCTTTCTTCATAAATCATCATTGAATTTTAAAAAAGAAATGATTAGTTTTGGAGTTACGCTATCGGACTGCATATCATTTTGTGTCATGGTTTTGTTTGCGAATACCATGATGTCTGTTCAGAGAGCTAATTCAAGTAAGTATAAGTTTTACTCTATTCTAAACTGATATTTCATATTAAACATTTAATTTTTCAACTAATATTGTACGATAATTGATTCTTATTATTTATTTATTTTTACACCTATTTACTTTTACAATTCTTTTAAAATTAATTTACTTGTGTTTTGACGGTTTAAAACTAAATATAAATACTAACTAAGTATAGTAAGCATTCTTTTTACTCTATTTTTAAATAATATTTCACATCAGCAATTTAATTTTCATCCAAGTTTTTACTTAACTTGTCTCTTCTTATTCATTTGGTTTTATATTTATTTACTTCTATAATTCTTTTAAACTTAATTTTTTTCTGTATTGATGATTTTAAACTAAATGCGATTGCTGTAAGATGACTATAAAATTTTTGACACTTTTCAAATCACGTTCTTTACATTCTGTATCATGCACATTCTTTAATTCGTTTCAGTCAGTTTTAATACCCAGTCAGTAACAGAAGAAGTTTTAAATACAGAAGATATTTTTAGAATAATAAGAAAAATTTAATATATGAAATATTTTTTAAATACAGAAAATATTTTTTAACTGACGAAAATATTTTTCACTTTAAACTGCTTAAATAAAAACTTTATATTAGTAAATTTCAACTTTTAGTAGTTTTAAAATTGACAAAACTTTAAATAAGTTTTTTACAACCAAAATAAATTCAAACGTTTTAGAAGTTCACTTTTATTTGTTGTATTTTAGACTACATTTAAAATGATTATTTTATTTATTAATAATGTCAAATATAATAGGGAATATACACCAGATACTTTGATCAGTTATGTGTATAATCTTACTTAATAATTACTTTGAAATAAAAATAATTATTACCAATATTCAATTGGATCTAATTCACAGAATTAAAATAATGATTTGTTTTGAATTCTGCCAAATAATGTTCAATTTCAGTGAATTGTTATTCATTGCTTATTTAACAATTTATTGAGAAAATCTATTTAAAATGTAATAAATTTAATTTCAATTAACATAAGTGAAGTAATATAATTTTTATTTTACATTAACAGGTGCAAATTCCTTGAAGATTCAACCCTTCATTTTTCCATTGGAATCATCCATAATCGGTGAAAGGGTTACTGCAGTTTGCGCATCATCGTCTGGAGAAAAAATGAACTTCAAGTGGTTAAAAAATGGCACACCTCTGATTAAGGAACGAAATGTCGATATAAGAACCTATCCCGATATATCCAATCTTGTCATAGGTCCCCTCACTGAAGAAGATTCTGGAAACTACACTTGCATCGTCACCGCACGAGGAATGACCGCTAGCCATACAGCAACCTTAAAAGTCTTGGGTAAATATTCTTAAAATTAAACTATTACTTTAATCTTAACTTAAAATTATCACATTTATTGATATATTATTAGATAATTAAATATTAATTGATGACAAAATTTCTTGTTTTTTCATATTAAATTCAGGTCAGGGGTCTGTCCAGACATTTTGTGAAAGGTCCGTCTTTGTAAAATTGTGAAAAAATGACTCGTTATGTGTGATTATAAAATAAACGTTAAATCACGTTCTTTCAACCAGAGTCCAGCTTTTGTGAATTTTATGCAAATAGGGTCCTGTTATTGCAAAAAAAAAACATTTTTAAGGAGTTTTTAAATTGTAAAGCGATGCAAGATTATGCTCAACACTGTAAAATTATAATTAAAAAAATTAAATTTTCGAAAATAGACAGCCATTGCTGCTACTCAATGAGAGATGCAACATACAAATATTTGGTATTTAGTCTATACTGCTAAATGCAGAATATTCATTTCGGACAAATAAAGGAAGAAGCGTCTGCCGAAGACAAAATTTAGTTCGTTTGCAGCTGCCTTTCTTTCCTCCCCTTCCTGGGAAGGGTTTATTCGAAAAACAAAACAATAATGAGGATAAATAAACTTGTGAAGGGTCCGATTAAAAGAAAAATCATTTTGTGAAGGGTCCGTTTTTATGAAAAGATATTTTGTGAAGGGTCCGTTAACGGACTCAAATTTCTTTTAAACAGACCCCTGCAGGTAGATCAATTTATATTGTCTCTTAAATATAACGAGATTGCTTCCTGTGTATTTTAAGTAAATTTAGAATTTTAATTCTACAAATATCCATTGGAAAAATCAGAGCCAAATAAACGAAATATAATTCACGACGGAGTATTTTGTACTGGACACTATTTCAATACCAAAATGTATCGTATTTTGTAAGTGACAGATTACATTTTTTTTTAAAAAAATGTTACCTTTATTAATGTTTTATTTTATGTAATCTTGAAATAATTAAACTTTTATGAGATTTAAGTGAAAAATTTTCATTTTAAAGAGATACATCGATTTTTCACTATCTTTTTTAAATAAAAGATACTTGACAATTAATAATCTCTGTGCCCATTATCCCTTAAAAATTAAATACTGGAATAATTAATTAATATATTTATCCTGTTTATTATTTCGTTTTTCACTATTTTTAAAAAAAAAGATACTTGGAGTTAAATAACCTCTGTGTCCATTATTTCTTAAAAATTAAATAGTGGAATAATTAATTAATATATTTATCTTGTTTCTTATTTCGTGTTTCACTATTTTTTCAAAAAAAGATACTCGGCGATTGATAATCTCTGTGACCACTATCCCTTAAAAGTTAAATAGTGGAAAAATTAATTAATATATTTATCTTGTTTCTTATTTCGTGCTTCACTATTCTTTCAAAAAAAAAGATACTTGGAGATTGATAATCTCTGTGACCACTATCCCTTAAAAGTTAAATAGTGGAATATTTAATTAATATATTTATCTTGTTTGTTATTTCGTGTTTCAATATTTTTTTTAAAAAAGGTACTTGGTGGTTGATAATCTCTGTGACCACTATCCCTTAAAAGTTAAATAGTGGAATAATTAATTAATATATTTATCTTGTTTCTTATTTCGTGTTTCACTATTTTTTCAAAAAAAAGGTATTTGGTGATTGATAATCTCTGTGACCACTATCCCTTAAAAATTAAATAGTGGAATAATTAATTAATCTATTTATCTTGTTTGTCATTTCGTTTCACATAGTGTACGCATAAACTGCATACTTAGTAGTCTCTTTTTTTCATTCTCTGTGATGTGTAGTTCCGCCGTTCTGGGTCCATGTGCCACGTGACGTCGATAGTCTGAGTGGAGATTCAGTGTCCTTGGATTGTGTCGGTCAAGGTATTCCAAAACCCATGACGACCTGGTATAGAAAACAAGGTATTTCATACATTTATTTTCATAATTATTACATATTGCATATTGTGTACCGCATTGATTGTCTCTAATATGCATTTTCAAAATCCTTGAGAACAGAAAATACTTGTAAATATGATATCTGAGGTTAGGTACATTTATATGATATACCTTCGAGACTGAAAACTGTCTGAGATCTTTACTTTATTAATTTGTAAATTTTACTTTCAGCGGCATTGCTCTGGTGTGTTTATTTCGGTTTAGTACACCTAGCAAATTTACTATACCTAGATCCCACTTTTCAGACTATTGTTCTCGCCAATCTGAAATTATAGAGTAATTGAGGAATTTAGTAGACACGCTGCATATCGAGATTCCCTTAATTCCTATAAAAGGGTTGAGATTCCTTTAAAACTGGTTTCATATTGTGATATAAACCTCATGTTCTCTGAAAATACCCATATATGACTAGAAATATTTAGAATATATTCAAAAAATCTTATTTAGTCCAGAACATGCAGAAAAAGAGGAGGCTTTTAAAGCTGATTTCATATTAAAACATGGATATCATATTCTCTGAAAATATCCATATATGACTAAAAATACCTAAAGAATATTTTTAAAATAGTTTTAATTTGTTTAAAATGCTTTGAAAAAAAAATTCTTTAAAACGGGATTCATGCCAAAATGTGCCCATCATATTCATTAAAAATACCCATATATACCCCTATAGAAATATGTAAAGAATATTTTTAAAATAAACTCTTGTTTTGTGCTAAATTCCAAACTTTACTGTTATATCAAATAGCATTAGAACGGAAACTGCAGAATTTTAAATATTGTTTTGAGAAGCAATATTCTTAAATATTTATATATATNTTAATAAGGTATTCCCTTTATCTGCATATAAAATAAAACACCATCCAAATCTAGTTTTTATTTTTGTGAACTATAGAGCAACGAAAAATTTCTGCTAAGTATCAAGTTACATAAGAGAGTATCAAATATGTAAGCAGTAATAGGGTGTGATCTTATTTCGGATTTACATTATGAAAGAAATGTGAGGTTGTAACTTACCTTTCTCAGTTAAGGTAATAAATCAACTTTGAAAGGTGGAGTTTTTTTTTAATAAGGTATTCCCTTTATCTGCATATAAAATAAAACACCATCCAAATCTAGTTTTTATTTTTGTGAACTATAGAGCAACGAAAAATTTCTGCTAAGTATCAAGTTACATAAGAGAGTATCAAATATGTAAGCAGTAATAGGGTGTGATCTTATTTCGGATTTACATTATGAAAGAAATGTGAGGTTGTAACTTACCTTTCTCAGTTAAGGTAATAAATCAACTTTGAAAGGTGGAGTTTTTTTTTAATAAGGTATTCCCTTTATCTGCATATAAAATAAAACACCATCCAAATCTAGTTTTTATTTTTGTGAACTATAGAGCAACGAAAAATTTCTGCTAAGTATCAAGTTACATAAGAGAGTATCAAATATGTAAGCAGTAATAGGGTGTGATCTTATTTCGGATTTACATTATGAAAGAAATGTGAGGTTGTAACTTACCTTTCTCAGTTAAGGTAATAAATCAACTTTGAAAGGTGGAGTTTTTTTTTAATAAGGTATTCCCTTTATCTGCATATAAAATAAAACACCATCCAAATCTAGTTTTTATTTTTGTGAACTATAGAGCAACGAAAAATTTCTGCTAAGTATCAAGTTACATAAGAGAGTATCAAATATGTAAGCAGTAATAGGGTGTGATCTTATTTCGGATTTACATTATGAAAGAAATGTGAGGTTGTAACTTACCTTTCTCAGTTAAGGTAATAAATCAACTTTGAAAGGTGGAGTTTTTTTTTAATAAGGTATTCCCTTTATCTGCATATAAAATAAAACACCATCCAAATCTAGTTTTTATTTTTGTGAACTATAGAGCAACGAAAAATTTCTGCTAAGTATCAAGTTACATAAGAGAGTATCAAATATGTAAGCAGTAATAGGGTGTGATCTTATTTCGGATTTACATTATGAAAGAAATGTGAGGTTGTAACTTACCTTTCTCAGTTAAGGTAATAAATCAACTTTGAAAGGTGGAGTTTTTTTTTAATAAGGTATTCCCTTTATCTGCATATAAAATAAAACACCATCCAAATCTAGTTTTTATTTTTGTGAACTATAGAGCAACGAAAAATTTCTGCTAAGTATCAAGTTACATAAGAGAGTATCAAATATGTAAGCAGTAATAGGGTGTGATCTTATTTCGGATTTACATTATGAAAGAAATGTGAGGTTGTAACTTACCTTTCTCAGTTAAGGTAATAAATCAACTTTGAAAGGTGGAGTTTTTTTTTAATAAGGTATTCCCTTTATCTGCATATAAAATAAAACACCATCCAAATCTAGTTTTTATTTTTGTGAACTATAGAGCAACGAAAAATTTCTGCTAAGTATCAAGTTACATAAGAGAGTATCAAATATGTAAGCAGTAATAGGGTGTGATCTTATTTCGGATTTACATTATGAAAGAAATGTGAGGTTGTAACTTACCTTTCTCAGTTAAGGTAATAAATCAACTTTGAAAGGTGGAGTTTTTTTTTAATAAGGTATTCCCTTTATCTGCATATAAAATAAAACACCATCCAAATCTAGTTTTTATTTTTGTGAACTATAGAGCAACGAAAAATTTCTGCTAAGTATCAAGTTACATAAGAGAGTATCAAATATGTAAGCAGTAATAGGGTGTGATCTTATTTCGGATTTACATTATGAAAGAAATGTGAGGTTGTAACTTACCTTTCTCAGTTAAGGTAATAAATCAACTTTGAAAGGTGGAGTTTTTTTTTAATAAGGTATTCCCTTTATCTGCATATAAAATAAAACACCATCCAAATCTAGTTTTTATTTTTGTGAACTATAGAGCAACGAAAAATTTCTGCTAAGTATCAAGTTACATAAGAGAGTATCAAATATGTAAGCAGTAATAGGGTGTGATCTTATTTCGGATTTACATTATGAAAGAAATGTGAGGTTGTAACTTACCTTTCTCAGTTAAGGTAATAAATCAACTTTGAAAGGTGGAGTTTTTTTTTAATAAGGTATTCCCTTTATCTGCATATAAAATAAAACACCATCCAAATCTAGTTTTTATTTTTGTGAACTATAGAGCAACGAAAAATTTCTGCTAAGTATCAAGTTACATAAGAGAGTATCAAATATGTAAGCAGTAATAGGGTGTGATCTTATTTCGGATTTACATTATGAAAGAAATGTGAGGTTGTAACTTACCTTTCTCAGTTAAGGTAATAAATCAACTTTGAAAGGTGGAGTTTTTTTTTAATAAGGTATTCCCTTTATCTGCATATAAAATAAAACACCATCCAAATCTAGTTTTTATTTTTGTGAACTATAGAGCAACGAAAAATTTCTGCTAAGTATCAAGTTACATAAGAGAGTATCAAATATGTAAGCAGTAATAGGGTGTGATCTTATTTCGGATTTACATTATGAAAGAAATGTGAGGTTGTAACTTAACTATCTCAGATAAAGTGATTAATCAGCTTCAAAAGGCTATGTTTTTTTTAAAAATAAGGTATTTTCTTCCTCTGCATATAAAATAAAACACCATCAAAATCTTTTTTTAATTTTTGTGTACTATTTTTTTCTCCAATGCCCACCTGTGTTAACATCCGTCAATTCAGGTTGTTGTTGTTGTTAATTTACGTCGCACTAGAGCTGCACAATGGGCTATTGGCGACGGTCTGGGAAACATCCCTGTGGATGATCCGAAGACATGCCATCACAATTTTGATCCTCTGCGGAGGGGATGGCACCCCCGCTTCGGTAGCCCGACGAGTACTTCCGAGTACCGACGAGAAGTCGAGCACTTTACGGTAGCACAGTTTAACGAGGACCCATACCGCGCACCCTCGGTCCCTACGCAGACTGATCCAAGTGGTCACCCACCCACACACTGACCGTAGCCAGTGATGCTTGACTTCGGTGATCTGCTGGGAACCGTGTCTTAATGATCAGTCCACTGCGGGACCCGTCAATTCAGGCATTCACAGGGCAGATTTTTTTTCAGGGACACCCTATTAGGTGGGCCAACGTTGCTCCCACAGTAAGGACAGATAGTACAGAGAAGGAAAGAACATCCATGCCTTGCCCGGGATTCGAACCCAGAGCCTTTCTGATGTAAGGGCAGTTCCCTAACCCCTACACAGGCCGGTCGGCATTTTTTTGTGTACTATATAACAACGAAAAATTTCTATAAGCGATCAAGTTACATAATGTTATCTTCATTTTATGCGAACAACAATTAAAATCCAATTCCTATATGTTTTGTAGATGCGTCTTACATTATTTTTCTACTTGTAATGTTTAGTTTACCCCGAGAATTATGGAAGAAAATTTTATTCTAAAATATCCAGTTATTGATCAGAACTGCACCGCTTAAAATATATTATTTATCTACCAATATTGAACATTATAACTCAATATATTGTCTGAATATTATGTATTGTTTAATATATAATATTTAAATCTTTCTCGTGCCTCGTTAGAATTCATCAAAACTATGATATATTTGACTGTATTTATATGTATTGAAATGTAGAATGCAATATTAACCATTAATTTGCTGACATCAAAATTCTTTTTAAACTGTATTCTTTATTTTAAATATATGTTTGTTTGTTTTATTATCAGCCGGTTGTGATTATGTTCTCAGCGAAAATATTTAAGAATTACTTGGTTATATTTATAATTGTACTTAAGAAATTGATTATTATATTTAATAATGGATATGCAAATAAATAGCTACTTAGTTTATTTTCTTTGTAGAATGAAATATGTAGAATGATAGTTTTTCTTTATAAAATTTCCGCAACAGATATTTATTCTTATCTACTACTTTCTCATGTTAGAATCTCTGTATCAGTACTGGACATCAAATTTATAAATTTATAAATACGTACGAACTTTCGTGCCATTTTAAAGCACAATAAGTTTTGTTTTCCACCCTGCTATGATAATGTGCTGTTTTTTAACATGTCTTGTAGCATAACTTTATTATTTAAAAAGTAATACAATTACCTGAAATAATTTTTATTTTATAACCGTTGTTGAACAGCAGACCCAATTTTTTGGGTTTACGACTACTAATGTTCAACTCCGTAGCCTTGTCATTTTGAACCTAATCCGGAAGACATGGGAACTCCTGGATCAAGTTTTGGGAAAAATTTGCCTTCGTGGAGGACTTTTCTTTTTATAAAACACATTTGCGTTACACGGTGAGGAAAACAACGAAAACATTTCACAGATAGCCTGGCAGCAAGGGGACTCCCACCCATGATCTGTCTACCACTGAGGATATTTCACGCTATCACTGTGGTCGGTGCGAGCCGGATGCAGAACTCATATCGACCAGCCATCTCTGGGATTCGAACTAGGTTCACCTTATGGGAAGGCGAACGCTCTATCCCCTGACCCACCACGGCTCTACTATTTTCCAATGTTAGAATCCGTCCTCTTCCGTATCAGCAAATTTACAAATTTCTAAATGCGTGCAATTTTAATGCACAATAAGTTTTGTTTTCTTCACTACAATTACTTGTTGTATTTTAACACGTCTTGTAGCAAGACTTGAAAAGTCATACAGTTACTTGAACTAATTTTTAAAGATGAGGAGAAAAAGCAAATGAAATGTGAATAATTTGAACAATATACTGAATAACTTTGCTTATATAGTGATACTGATGTTTTGTGCCTTAAATCTTTTTTTAAGAAGTTAACAATCCAAGTTAACAACCCATGTTAACATTAACAAAGATAACAACCTATGTCTATACTTAGGTATAATTATTTTGCTGGATGATTTGATAATCTATAGTTCTATATATTAAATCCACATCATAAAATTTTTTTTTTTTAAAAATTACGTCATCAATACTCAAAAAGTTACAATTTGTTCTCAGTATGAAATTGCTGAAGAAGTAAGTTACAATATTGATGAATTTTTTTTTAAATAAGTCGAATTGTTGCACTGTTTACTGGAAAAATTTTCCTTATTTTTTCATCTAAATTTTCGAGTATAAAGTGTTGTTTATAAATTAATTATGTTTACATTTTCGACTGAAAACGTTTCTGCAAATATCATTTAATAAAATTCTTGTATGCTTCTTAACATGTATTTCTAAAAAAAATATTCTTTGATAACTGTATTAATCTTTATAACAATACCGATGATTTGATATGCATACATGTATATTTACATATATGCGAATGTGGGTTCATTTGAATACAAATTTTAACAACACTGCATACATATAAATATTATATAATAATACATATATGTATGTATATGTAATATATATATATATGCTGTATAATATAAATGTATTAGCCAAGAGCAAATTATAATCTACTTATGAAACAAAAAACGCGTCCGCTGTAAGTTATTATAAACATGACAAAAACTGTATTTAGTTAACAAATTGAAAGAGTGATGGCGCTGTTGGCAAATTTACGCTTTCTTAGTGCGAATAGTACGCCATTCGGTCACAAAAAAACTGAATTTGTTTCTTTATGCATTTATTGCTTCTGATTTCAGTGAATCTATACAAAGGATTGATCTACCTTTTCTTACAAGAAATGTATTCCTTGCAAATAATAACAAATTCATCAAGATGGATTTTCTTTTATTTTGTCATTTTGACGGTTTTGCTATCTCTACAAATTAGTGAGTCTGGTAAGTGTTACCTTTTCTTATTTCAAAATGTTTACTTTTTTACTCTCCCTAATTAAATTTTTAATACGATGGTTTCTTTATTACTGTGCTATATACTAACTAATATGTTTAAATGTCATCTGATTCTTGAATATAATCATGAATGTATGGAATATTGAATGCATATAAACATCGAATTAGGTATTTCTATATTAATCTTATGTTTCTTGCATGTTACACATTACTCTAATATTTTCATGAAATATTAAAATTATTTCATGTTGTAGTTTTACTTTTTTATCAATCCGTGTTCATTAATGTTTTTTTCTCTCTCATTTTTTTGCCTTTGAAATTAATGAAACTAATTTGTACAAACTCATTCATAGTTTTTCTCCTTCAAATCAATACCCCTAGTATTTTAATACATTTACATTAAAATATGAATGAAATGTATTTTTTATTTAAATATTTTAGGATCATTCATTCAACAAAAATATTTATAACTTAATGTCTTTTTTTAATATTTGTCTTTTTTAAAGAAACATAACTAATTGTAAACGAGGAACGTTTTTCAAATTGCAGTGAATTTATTTTTAAAATTTTAATCATATTATGCAACTTATTATATTTCAAATATAATCATTTTTATAATTAATGATTTTTATGTAAACGCTTTCCATTTGCATATAAGTTAATCTTGTGTAGTAAATATTGGCGCAGTATGTCCTTCTGTGGACTTTGTGCCATTAAACCCTACATTCAACTCAACTGTGTAGTAAATATATATAAAAAAATCTTTATTTTGTTATAATTATTTCAATAGAATTAGTATGTAAATGTGATAAAAAATTATACTTATACATATTATTTTAGTTCTTTTGTTTTCAGCTCTTTGATACTTATACATATTACTTTACTTCTTTAGTTCATTGAAACATATTATTTTAGTTCTTTTTCATAAGCAAATGCTTCTTTTTAACTCCGCCCATATACAGCTGGAAACTCACTAAGGATTCAACCTTTTACATTTCCGTCTGAATCATCCGTTATTGGCAAGAGGACCATTGCTGCTTGCACACCTTTATCTGGCGAAAAAATGGATTTCAGGTGGTTAAAAAATGGTAAAACATTGACTAAAGGACGAAACATTGACATCAGATCCTTTCCAGACCTATCCAATCTTGTTATAGATCCACTCACTGAAGAAGATTCAGGAAATTACACTTGCATCGTCAATGCACGTGGGACAACAGCGAGCTACACTGCAACACTCGAAGTATTAGGTGAGCTCATATAATTTTGACACATTTAAGCCTTTGCGAACGCTTCGTGTATAATTAGATAAAGTTTTTCTAGAGTTGAAATATAATTCTTCTGATTCTTCCTTATGAAATATATTTCTTATATAATCAACATAATTCAAATCATTCTTAAACACTTTAATAAACCGGTGAGCATACTGGACGGTTATAAGAAAATTGTTTTCATTAGTTTAATTCATCAACAATATTGTTCAGTGGGTTAGGTTGTAAAAACTATCATATCATGAATAGTGACAAATTCATCATTTAAAATTTTTTTTTAAACTAGTTTTGAAATGAGGAACCTATATACACAGTCATTATCTCCTAACATTAAAATCAATTTAAACAACACGAAGGAATTTATGTTTGCGGATTTTTTATCAGAAAATAAACTTGTTATCAATTTTGAAAACTGCATGCAATTTCGATGTATGTCAGTGCCAATTTTAAATTCAGAAAATTCATAAGCTTAAAATGTTAAGAGATGATAGCCCTATACCTGCACCAGTTGATCACGTGATCAATTTAATAGGAAAAAACATTACCGTTTTTCCTGATTAAATCAAATCTTTAAATAATCCAATTATGTTAATGAAAGTCAATCAAAAATATGTTCCGTAAATGCTTCTGTTGATCTTAGAAGTATATTTTTTAAAAAAGAAAATCATTTAACTTTATTTACGCTTTTCAATTTTAAAATATTATTTCTAAAAATACACTTTTCAAATCACATTTTGCTACGTATTAAAAATTAACGCTGCGTACTAAACCTAAACATATTATCAGTTTTAGAACTACGTAACAAACAGTAGCGTTTTTAAAACCTCATATTCAGCCTTTGTAAGTATTGTCAAATATATTATATTTAAAGCTATCTATATTTATAATAAAACGGTATTTCGTTCTCAATATCATTTATATCCCAAGAAGATGTTGGAACAAAAGTCAAAGTCTCATACTTTAAATACTTTCTAAAATTTTTTTTTAATAAATATTAAACTTTATATTATATATTTCAAATTATATTATATTATAAAGTTAAGTAAGCTTTATATTATATATTTCTGAAACTCACTTAACTAGTTTTATCATAATTTTATATTTTTATTTAATTCCTTATCTATAGTACCTCCATCCTGGATTCACGTACCACGTGACGTCGATGCACTGAGTGGAGATACTCTCTCTTTAGATTGTATGGGTCAAGGTACCCCAAAACCTTTCACAACCTGGTACAAGAAACAAGGTTCATATTTTTTTTAAATTTTTTTCAAACTTGTTTTTTTATTTATTCTTTACTTTATTTTTTAATAAAATATTCTTTTTACCTAGTCATCCATAATGATAAATTTCTTCATACCTTCTTCCAAGAGTAAATAAAAATTTATGACTGCAAATTAACATTTACAATCCCTAGCCAAATTATTCAACACACTGTAAGATTCTATGTAAAATCTTAATTATCAGGTGATATTCTATACAATTTTAGAGTTTTTACGTGGCTGAAACCGATTTGCATTTGTTTATGTTCCTGTATCAGTGGGTTAACATTGTAATGCAATACGTTAAAAATAAATACAAATGGGAAGAATATTAAAAATCTCCTGCATAAAAACCCATATATATGTTTAAACATAAAAGTATTGCCTATAAATTCGTGCAAAACATACAATTATTAAAAGACTAACAGTGCGTCTAATCATTTGGTCTGATTATTATACTATACTAATATAGTACCTGATATAATAAATATACTGTAGTCTACGTAATTATCTCGACTCGTCGTCTTAAACCTACAATCAGTAAAATAATAAAGCATCATAACTATGCTTTGATTGTCCTTGAAAACATACAGCAACTTGATGCGAATGAATGAATTAAAATAAAATGAACATTTCAAAATAAATATCATAAATGTGTTACAGTTATACGTATTTAACTGGTGGGCTGTTATTCTTAAAACACACGTAGATTGTAGAACTTAGTTAAAGAACATGTTAAGGAAAATTTCATTCTCGGGTAAAAAAAAAAAACTTTTTTGTGCTTGGCTTTAAGTATAAGATTGTTAGAAGATGAAATTAATTATTAATAATGAAACTGAGCTTTTTCTTCATTGATAACTATGCGGATTTTAATTCTTAAAGTCCCTTAAAGAAGACCCATACTTCCCAAAATGTTGGGAGAAATAAAGAACAGTGTCTCGTTTAATCAGTATTTTTTGTCGATCATTTTTTAAATAAAAGAGAAGGATTAACTCTGATTTTTTTTTTCAAATTTCAAGTATCTATAATAGGCTTTTGGGAGTCGCAGTTAAGAATATCTGAGAGAGCAAGAAATTGTAAAAATGGACGTTTCGCTAAATATATTGTCAAAAATCAAAATCTTCGTATAAGAAACATTAGAATTTTTTTTGAATAAGAAGAACATATTCTTATAAACCAGGGGTTTCCAACTGGCGGCCCGGGGGCCGCATTCGGCCCACGGAGCCTTTTTTGTGACCCGCGAACTAAAACACATTAGTTGTCATTTTTTGTGGACAATTTTCGTAAAAAAATCTATATGGGCTTAAAATACTTTTCTCGATAATAAAAACCTAATTTCTTCGTTTCTGTGAAATTGAACATACCAACGATGCAAAAAAAATTTATTTCTCAGGTTTTGCATCCAAGAAAATATTTATTCAAATACAGAAATAATTGTGTATGTTTGTCTTTTTTTATTTAATTTTTTTTGTTTTTTGTGAATATAATTTAGCATGTGTGTATCAGAAATTTTCTCGAAGAAATTCTCCGATTTAACTTTTTGAAACCATTCATTTACACACACATTTGTAAATTTTAAATTTAAATATCTATTCTCTGGTGGTTGCAGCAGACAAACCTCAATTTTCTCATTGAACATTTTGTATGGCTCTGTGTAAGTAAAAAAGATTAATTCTAATTTAAAGATTAGTCCTTAAAAAAGATTAATCCTTTTTTAAAGATTAATATCTAAACAGTTAGATATCTGTTGCACATTAATTGCTTAATACATAGGTGCACATTAAAGTTATTGTAGCCCGAATTTTTATTATTTATTTAATATTTTTAAAAATATTATTAATAACAATTAAATATTTTTAAAAATCTACTTCTTATTTTAATTTGTAATTCAATACTTTTGTTTTGTACAACTTGGTAAAAATCTGAAAGTAATATTTAATCTTCCTTCCAACATAAAAGAGTCCTACATAAAATTTTGACAAAGTTGCGGCCCGCCATTTGATTTGTGTTTTTAATTGTGGCCTCATGTTCGAAGTTGGAAACCCCCCTGTTATAAACTATGTACGAAATATAGGAACCAAGAGAGCACAAAAAACGATTATAAAGAGACCTTCCCTTTCTTCTCATAGATTGCATAAGATTAAATTTATTTGAATGAAAGTTGAAAACTGTGAATTAATATTCTGGAAATTTAGATATATCTATTTACTTATCGATAATTTATTTTATGAATAATTAAATTTTTATAGTTCAAGTGGTAACACATACACAATATATATTTATTACTAGGTGACCATGCTGAATTTGCACCCATAACTCCTTCAAATCATTTAAATCTGGCATCAAATGGGAGTCTTCTTTTGAAAGTGGATAAATCGGACGAAGGTTTATACAAATGCAATGTATCCAATAATATAGGATCTCCTCTTTTAAAGACTGTTGTTCTTAAAGTTATTGGTATGTAAGTTATTGGTTGTATAAACGATCATATAAAGTCATTGGTATGCAAGTTAATGCTTGCATAAACGATCGTATAAAGTTATTGGTATGTAAGTTATTGGTTGTATAAACGATTGTATAAAGTTATTGGTATGTAAGTTATTGGTTGTATAAACGATCGTATAAAGTTATTGGTATGTAAGTTATTGGTTGTATAAACGATCATATAGAGTTATTGGTATGTAAGTTATTAGTCGTATAAACGATCATATAGAGTTATTGGTATGTAAGTTATTGGTTGCATAAACGATCATATAAAGTTATTGGTATGTAAGTTATTGGTTGTATAAACGATCATATAAAGTTATTGGTATGTAAGTTATTGATTGTATAAACGATCATATAAAGTTATTGGTTGTATAAACGATCATATAAAGTCTTGGTATGTAAGTTATTGGTTGCATAAACGATCATATAAAGCTATTGGTATGAACGATCACTTGATTTTTTTTTCTAAACATTTCAAAAAGTGTATTTAGTCATTGCATATTTTAATGAACTGGTCTCTCTCTTACTTGTATAACATGCATTGTGAAAGAAATGTGAATTATTCGAACTGTTGATAAGAATTGGAAATGCTTTATTGTTTGTTTATTTTTATTGTTGCATCATTTATTGTATGAAAGTTGGCACACCACCAAAAATTATGCTGTGTATAAATACAACTATGCTTGTATAAATACAAGGTCAAGAAAACTGAGATGGTCACGGTAAGTCTTGACCCTCAATGGGCAGTCACGCCATTGAGTTTAGTTTAGTATAAAAATACAATTTTGAAAATACAATGCTGATGTACTGTGATGCCAAAATTGTTTAATATGTTTTTAGCTTTTTATTTTGCAAGAAGTAGATAGGTAGGTACCTTTATTCACGTCTGACTAGAGCAGCACAAGGGGCGACGGTCTGAGAAGCATCCCTGAGGATGATCCGAAGACTTATCATCACAAATTTGATCCTTTGCAGAGGGGGATGACTCCTCTGGTTTGGTAGCCCGACGACCTGCACGCGAAGTCGAACACGTCGCGGTAGAACAGTTTAACAAGGACAGATACCGCGCACCCTTGGTCCCTACGCAGGCTGATCAAAATGGTCGACCAACCGCTTACTGACTGCAGCCAGTGATGCTTGACTTCGGTGTTCAACAGGGAATCGTTTCTTTATGATCAGTCCACTGCTGGACTTCTAAGAAGTAATTTCCTTGTTTTAAAGTTTAAGAATGATTTGCCTAAAACTTAAGTTCGCGAAATTTGCTTTCCTATTAATTTTTTAAAAATAAATATCGTGTTTTTTTTTAAATTTTGTGTTGTTGAGTTATTTTTCATGCATCCCATCTAAGATATCTGAAGCTATGTCTTTTTTGGATTTCGCAACCAAAAGTATTCTCGAAGTCTAAATGAATCTATAAAAAGTATTTAAATAAATTCCTATTTGAATAAATTTATACTTTATAAGTTCTAGATTTCTTGGCTACCTCATGTGAACCTCGTATTTTCATTTCACACTTTGTTTATCATAAGATATTTTTTAGAAGTTATACGTTTTTCGCTGCATTTTAATTATTAAAACTATTTATTACTTTTTCTCGCTGTTTAATATTTTCAACAAAAATAATTTTAAAAAAAATAAAAATTCAAGAAATGAAAACCAGTACTTTACTGCCTTATTTTTGCTGTAAATGTTACGAATTTTACAAAATACTTGTGACATGCTTTGAAAGCGTTTCTAAGTTTTGACAATCTAAATTAAATTTTTCTGTAAAAAAATTTTGTAAATCAATTAAAATGATCTTAATTTTTTATAATTTTAGAGTAACGAACACCCACTCTTAAAGAAAATTTTATTAATTTTTGCTGCTTAATTTCTATTGAATCAATTAATATTTCTATCTCTTTAAAACGAGCTAGATTGATTATAAAATCTGTTAATAACAATATAATATAATCAAACGTAAATGTTTATATCATAAGTATAATCAAAAGAGGTTATTAAGATTAATATTCCAAAAATATCAAATTCATTGACAGAATATTGGATATCGTTTTCATAGGGCAGTTTAATTGCACTATAATTGAATGAATACTAATATTTTCATTGTTAATATTTATTGCAAAATATAGCTCGAAAATTACTATTTTATAAGCATTTTATAATCTTTTTAAAAATGACTCTTCATTTAGTTCAAGATATCAACAATTGAGGGCGCTACAATACTTATTTTAATTCTCACTACGTTAACGCCATTACATCGACTTTCACATTGCTTATATCATTCGATTTATTGTTGTACATCACTGCAAGTTTTGTTTAATATTGCAGACAAAGTAAATTGCACTTATTGAAATAAATTTGATTTCAAGACAATGTTCATTACATATTATTACAAGCCAATTTTTGCAGCCGATATTTTTCTACTCGTTCTCTGCTTCTTTATTGAAGGTAAGTTATTCATCTTATTATTCTTGTTTTTATCTAAGAAATTATTATTATAGAAAATACTTACTTTTAAATTATATACATTGATGCCTACATTAATTTATAAAATGAAATTTATACTTATTTAGTTACTCTGATCTTTGAAAGTAGACATAATTGTTATTCATTTAGCAAAGCTTTTAAATGTAACAATTTAGCACTATTACAAAAATATGACTTTAAATTACACCGCAAGTTTATGTATGGTTTTCTAAAATTAAAATTGGTTTCTGAAGTTATTTCCCCAAATATGCTAAAAATAACCAGGTTGAATAATTCAAACCAGCATTCATTTTATATTATTGGTATTTATCTGGCAAACAAAAATGTCAGTATGTTACTAAAATTTTCTCATAAAAATAAAATTCTATTTTTTAGTAACTTCTCTTTTCTATTTCGTTATTCATCGTTTTTTTTTCCAAATATTTTTAAAAGAATAAACTCTGCATTTGAAGTTTTTTTTAAACGAAAAATTACATTAATTTTATTTTATTTCTAATTTTAATGTGCAATTTAGGAAGTTAATCAGTACATAAAAAATATTCATGCGTACATATTCTTTGATATGATTGGATGATATATTAGATGATACATTCACATAATAGATGATACATTCGCATATTAGATGATACATTCACATAATAGCTGATGCATTCGCATATTAGATGATACATTCACATAATAGATGATACATTCACATAATAGCTGATACATTCACATGTTAGATGATACATTCACATATTAGATGATACATTCACATAATAGATGATTCATCCACATATTAGATGATACATTCAGATAATAGCTGATACATTCACATATTAGATGATACTTTCACATATTAGATGATACATTCAAATATTAGATGATACATTGACATAATAGATGATACATTCACATATTAGATGATACATTCACATATTAGATGATACATTTTCAAAGAGCTACGTCTATGTTGCAAAAAAATATTTTCAATTTAAAAGCTAACATGCTTAAAATCTTGTTCATTCTTAAATGTGTGTATTCTTTTTTCAATTTATGTGTGATGTGCTTTAAAGCATATTTTATCACAGAATAAATAAGGATAACTTTAATGAAGAAAACATAGTTGAAATACTAATACGTATTGCTTTTATTCAATAATTTTCGAAATTTAACAAAATATTTTAATAGATATTGTAATAGAAGAAATCTTAATGAATTCCAGGAAGAGCGGGAGATTCATTGTCCATACAGCCATTTTCTTTTCCCAATCATTCTATTGTTGGAAAACGAGTCAATGCTATCTGCGCCATTCAAGACACCTACAGAGGCCAAATGGAGTTCAAATGGCTCCACAACGGTAAAGAGTTAGTAAAGGGTTCGAATGTTGAAATAAGATCTCTGCAAGATCTCTCCACTTTAGTCATTAACCCTTTAACGGAAGCTGATTCTGGTAACTATTCCTGCATTGTTAACAGCCGTGGTTTGTCATCAAGTTATCACACATTCTTGGAAGTCTTAAGTGAGTACCTCATGCCTAACTAAGTCTTTTTAAAGCTTTAATAACTATCAGATACTGTCCCCGGTTTTCTAAGATTCTATGTAAAATCTTAATGGTCACGTGATATTACACAGCTTTACTGTTTTTACGAGACTGAAATCTGTTTGCTTGCGTTCGATTATCAATGGGCGAAATGAGACGATATACAATATAAATTTGACGGTTGGATAAATCAAGGGATATGTTATATAAATATAGACTATTTATTATATCAGGTATTATATTATAATAATTAGATCCAATGATTAGACACACTGTAGTGTTTTAAGAATGGCATGTTTTGCACGCGTTTATAGGCAATACTTTTATTTTCAAACATAATGGAATGGAGTTTGATTCAAAAGATTTTTTATATACTTCCTATTTGTATTTATTTTCAACGTATTGCATTACAATGTTAACCCATTGATAGAGGAGTGTAAACAAGTGCAAACCGGTTTCAGTCGAGGAAAAACAGTGAAGCTGTAGAGTATCACTTGATATTTTATAATTTTACATAAAATCTTAGAGTGCGTCTTATAATATGGCCGGGGACTGTATGTGATAGCGTTAATCTAACCTCACTGAAATATGTATTTAAAAGTTATTGCTCCAAATCCTTTTCAATTATATACCTGCAAGTTACGGAGAAGGAATATCTCGATCCTGATTGGTAGTTGAAACGTGGCATTTTTTTACGTTATCAACTGTTCTTTCCTTGTTATTTCGAGTAAGCCAAGACCGCCAAGGATCAATTATCTTAAGTGACACATTCTTGCACAAATATTTCAATTCTTCCACTAGATATTTCTCAAGAAAAAAAAACAAGCCATGTAGAACATAAACCAATTAGCAATGCATCTAATTTGCAAAGTACACAAAGCAAAAGTACATCACAGTTACAATAAAATGCATAAACAAATAATGAATCTAAGGGAATTAAAAGACGAGAAAGAAGTAATTTTCAATGAATTCCATGTGCAATAGAACACTGTATTTAAATAACTTTATGTTAATAACCTTTCTAACTTATGCGGCAAAACTTGGCTCAACTTTAACACACTATTTTGCTCATAAACAATAAGTTGGAGTTGGCGTCATAGGTCACATGTGAAGGTATCCGTGATTCTCTTCTTGAAGTGCAAGTACCCAATTCATTTTAGTTGTGCTTCAGAAAAATAAACAATTTACTACATCTATACAAATCAGCACTAAAACACTTTTTTTAAACTCCACTAGACATGCTCACAAATATATTTTGTAATACAATGAAGTTACATTTGAAGTGTCATTAAATTATTTAAACTGTATTGAAAAATTTCCATTTACAATTATAGACAGTATTATGCAGTTTTTCCAAATAATAAGCGTTTGATTACTGCTCTAATATTTAACCAATTTCTGTTTTTTTCCTGCGTGATTTTCTTTTAATTATTAATATTTCTGTTGAAAATGTTTTCAAGTTGAAATTTGCTGTTGCTCTAATTAATTTCTTCACAAGAAAATTCGCAAGAAATTCAACATGACAATTATTTTTTTTTCTTTTTCAATTATGTTTTACTTAAAAATCATAAGAATACTTTTTGTGTTTTTTAGTTCCTCCAACATGGAAGGAAGTTCCACGTGACATTGATTCTTTAAGTGGTGATACAGTTCATTTAAACTGTAAAGGTTCTGGAATACCTCAACCTACTACATCATGGTCTAAATCGTCAGGTAAGTGCTCCTCATTCGAAGTAAAAAGTAAAATAATATAAACAATATGTTAATGTTATCTAATTGTTAGTTTACTCTGAGTTTAGAAAAAAAACATTATTAATTTTTTAAAAAAATCTTAGAGTTAAAGGCAAACTTACGCAATTTGATATTCCAATTATGAGCGTTATTAGTAAAAAAAGTATTTACTTACAGCTTTTTTCGAAATATAAAAATTAAAGTATAAAGTATTAAAGTTGGTTAAAATTAAAGTATAATATTTTCAAAAATTTGAGTTAGAAGAAATAAATTTCATTAAAATTGACTTAAGTCATTTTTCACATCATTTTTCACCCATGCTGCCTACCATTTTCGTAAAACAATAATACTAAATTTTCAAAACTTGTAGATTATACAAGATACGTTATATAATATATACACAAATCTCTAACGTAACCTTGTGAAAAAGGCCGAATTTGTTTCTTGCTAGTGGCAACAATAATGTCTCGATTCCATTAAAAATGGCGGACAGTTTGTAATTGAAAAACAAATAATAAAAGAAGTGAAACAGTAAAGAAAATGACGTATTTCGGGTATCTATCACATATTTTATCTAAATTATATGCAATGAATAAGTTGGCGACTAAAATATAAAAAAGTAGTTAGAAGTTATTCGCCATTTTAATTATATGTTTAAATTACTAAAATATGAAGTCAACATTCTTTATTAAATACAAATATTATACGTTATATAAATCAATTTTATTCGACCCATATTAAACACAATTGAAGTAAACATGGAAACTTACAATGCAATGAGTATTGTAGGTGCAAAATGTAAATAAAGACAAAAGAAAAACTGCTTATTCTTATATATTTAATTATAAAAAAAACTTAATTTTAAACATTTTAAACCATGAAAGCTAACTTTAAATACAAATAATGTTATACTGATAAAAATACTTAATTCTATTGGTCAGTTACAGCAGAGAGATGCTATAGTATGCAATTTTCTTATTGTTACAATATGGCTGATGATAATTTACACGTTTGTTGCCCGTATTATTCAGAAACCATCACCATTTAAAGAGTAGCCCTTCTCTAAGCTAACTCCCTAAGGAAATGGATTATTCAACTCTAATGCAGATAAGGGAATATATCTTTTTGTTTATTGTGAGCATTACTGCTTTCAAAGGAATAAACGGTATTGGTCTTTGTACGAGTCAATTGCTTTATAGAATATTAGTCTTATTACGAGTAAATCTCTTAAACGAGTATTGGTCTTTGTAAGAGTAAATCGCTAAAGCGAATATTGGTCTTTGTACGAGTAAATCTCTTAAACGAGTATTAGACTTTGCACGAGTAAATTTCTTAAACGAGTATTAGACTTTGCACGAGTAAATTTTTTAAACCAGTATTGGTCTTTGTAAGAGTAAATCTCTTAAACGAGTATTAGACTTTGTACGAGTAAATCTCTTAAATGAGCAATCTTTGTACCAGTAAATTTCTTAAACAAGTATTGGTCTTTGTAAGAGTAAATCGCTTAAGCGCGAATATAGGTCTTTGTACGAGTAAATTGCTTAAACAAGTATTGGTCTTTGTACGAGAAAATTTTTTAAACAAGTATTGGTCTTTGTACGAGCAAATTTTTTAAACGAGTATTGGTCTTTGTACGAGTAAATCGCTAGACTGCCATGTTTTAAAATCTGGTAGGCGAGCAAAGGCTTGCGAAGCGATCCGAAGCTGTTCCGGAGTTGGTGAGCAACAGTGAGCAGGAGATGATAGATCTCTAGATTAACAATAAATTAATAAATTTCAGTTAATTTTCAATCATTATAATTCCCAAAATAAGATTTAGAATAATAGATATTTTGAATGGGTTCGAAATTATTTTAAATAATTTTTTGAACTAGTTGTGATTGTAATTTCCTTTAAATTACAAAAAGATGTTTTTTTTTTCAGGGGAAAATAATGATTTTAATCATATGTTGGAATCTAAAGATATCGTCACGTTTCAGAATGGAACTTTAGTTATACATTCGATTACAAGAGAAGACGGTGGATTGTATAGATGCAATGTTTCCAATGGAATAGGAACTCCTCTTATTAAAACAGTTGCTATCAAAGTTATAGGTATACTTTACATTAAGAAATATTCCATTCTTTTCAAAGATTTTGATGTGTAAAAGTGTTATTTAATTACATACATTTAAGTGCATTTCTGTTTTGTTGATTATCTTATAAAAGAATTAGCCGTACTACCGACTGCTGAATATGTATGATTATATGATGTTTAATCATCATTTTCTCACAAAAAATACGATGTATTTCGTTATTTCTTGTTTTTGTCTTTTATTATCTTTATTTTTCATGGTTTGTATTAAATAATGAACAGTTTAAAAAGCTAACGTACGGCAATAGCTTATGCTGTATCCGATTATATATATTTGATGCGTTGCCTTCACAATTATTTGCTTACAAAAACGCTATCATACTAACAATTGCTAAATATGCATGGTTATATAATATTTAATCATTTTCTCACAAAAAATGCAATGTATATTGTTATTTCTAGTTGTTTTCTTTTAAATTATAATTTTATCTTTATTTGTCAATTGTAAACGTTTTCACTTATAGATAAAATTGCATATACATACTATAAGTTATTTACAGTTATTTGTTAACCATTTATGTTGTAATTGTAGTTGTTGTAGTTCATTTTCGTCGCACTAGAGCTGCACAATGGGCTATTGGCGATGGTCTGGGAAACATCCCTCAGGATGATCCGAAGACATGTCATCACAATTTTGATCCTCTGCAGAGGGGATGGCGCCCCCGCTTCGGTAGGCCGACGACAGGCACGTGAAGTTGAGCAATTTACGGCAGAACAGTTTAACGAGGACCCATACCGCACACCCTCGGTCCCTACGCAGACTGATCCAAGTGGTCACCCATCCACACACTGACCACAGCCAGTGATGCTTGACATTGGTGATCTGCTGGGAACCGTGTCNATATATATATATATTTGCTGCGTTGCTTTGACAATTATTGGGTTATAAAAACGCTAGCCTTACTAATGACTGCTGAGTATGTATGATTATATAATATTTAATCATCATTTTCTCACACAAAACACAATGTAATCTGTTATCTCTCATTGTTTTCCTCAAAATTATTGTTTTTATCTTTATTTGTTAATCGTAAACATTTTCACTTATGCAAATGCTTAGACTATATACAAATTATTTACAGTTATTCGCTAACCATTTATGATTCCTTGGACATTTTTTTTCATGATTCTTGTTAAATAATCAATTTAAATGGATAATGTGAGCAATAGCTTACGCCAAATCCGATATATGTATTGTTTTGCGTTGCCTTGACAATTATAAAAACGCCTTACGTGTATTTATTATTTGTTATTTTAATGTTACTCTTTTTCTCTAACAAATATATATACAGAATCAACTATTCATTACAGTACTCGAGCTGTATATGAATATGCTTATATTTTATTCATATACAGTTATAAACGAATATTATTCATTATACATGCATTCATATACATTGAATACTTCATATATACTTATATGCTATTCATTCCAACAAATCTTTTGTTTTTGTCAAAGGAAAGCTAGGTAAATATAAAAATAATTCCGTTTTTTTGTGCAATTCCTTGTCGTTACTGAAAACATATTGAATACTTTCACGCACGCCTTTTACATCATTTTATATCAACGCTTTTTTTAGACTTGCTTTTCGATTTCTTTCCTTCTGTAGGAAAGTTTGAATTAGTTACAATCTAATATATATAATTCTCTTACGTGGTTCCCAAATTTTGGCTGTATTTCTTTTCCGCGGTGGCAACGATTGCTTTGTTTTGTTTACGTTACTATTTCTCTTACACGGCGAATCGACCCATGATTGCCGCTAAAAATGTCACATGCCAAATCTCGCTGAGGTGTTTCAACATATAGCGCTTTTAAAAACGGAAACTGAAATAACCAGAGAGCATCAGCTGCGGCAATCTCATACTATTAAGCTAGGCAGAAGTGAGTAGTCTTTGTCGAATCGATTGTAGCTTATATCAATCGCCCGTAATGGAATCACCAGTTTCTAGCAGCTCATAGTATACAAAACTATTCACCATTTATCTTTCACCATTTACCATTCTTTATTCACCATTAACCATTCTGGAAACGTCGAAACCATTCCCTACATGATTTATCAGTTGGAGCATTGTCAACATAAACTTCTACAAGCATTCGATGCGCTTCAGCTTCACTTTTCTTCCAATTAAAGCAGAAACATAAAACCTCCCGCAAATGGTGCTTCATTACCGCAAAATTTGACATTCAACAAAGTAAAAAACAAGGGTTTTGTATGAAGCTCAAAGCAATATAAACTGAATATTATTGACGGATGTTTGACCTCTCTAAAACCACTGAAACCAGCTGTCACTATTCATAACAGCAGAGCCATTTTTTTAAAAACGGACCGCTAATAATAAAGCGTTTCTGTGTTCTTTTATACTGTGAAAAAATACAGTGGTTCATCTAACAAACAGTGAATTTTCATTTTGTAAACAGAGTGTAAAANTGCAATAGAACACTGTATTTAAATAACTTTATGTTAATAACCTTTCTAACTTATGCGGCAAAACTTGGCTCAACTTTAACACACTATTTTGCTCATAAACAATAAGTTGGAGTTGGCGTCATAGGTCACATGTGAAGGTATCCGTGATTCTCTTCTTGAAGTGCAAGTACCCAATTCATTTTAGTTGTGCTTCAGAAAAATAAACAATTTACTACATCTATACAAATCAGCACTAAAACACTTTTTTTAAACTCCACTAGACATGCTCACAAATATATTTTGTAATACAATGAAGTTACATTTGAAGTGTCATTAAATTATTTAAACTGTATTGAAAAATTTCCATTTACAATTATAGACAGTATTATGCAGTTTTTCCAAATAATAAGCGTTTGATTACTGCTCTAATATTTAACCAATTTCTGTTTTTTTCCTGCGTGATTTTCTTTTAATTATTAATATTTCTGTTGAAAATGTTTTCAAGTTGAAATTTGCTGTTGCTCTAATTAATTTCTTCACAAGAAAATTCGCAAGAAATTCAACATGACAATTATTTTTTTTTCTTTTTCAATTATGTTTTACTTAAAAATCATAAGAATACTTTTTGTGTTTTTTAGTTCCTCCAACATGGAAGGAAGTTCCACGTGACATTGATTCTTTAAGTGGTGATACAGTTCATTTAAACTGTAAAGGTTCTGGAATACCTCAACCTACTACATCATGGTCTAAATCGTCAGGTAAAGTGCTCCTCATTCGAAGTAAAAAGTAAAATAATATAAACAATATGTTAATGTTATCTAATTGTTAGGTTACTCTGAGTTTAGAAAAAACATTATTAATTTTTAAAAAAAATCTTAGAGTTAAAGGCAAACTTAAGCAATTTGATATTCCAATTATGAGCGTTATACTGTTAGTAAAAAAAGTATTTATTTACAGCTTTTTTCGAAATATAAAAATTAAAGTATAAAGTTTTAAAGTTGGTTAAAATCAAAGTATAATATTTTCAAAAATGTGAGTTAGAAGAAATAAATTTCATTAAAATTGACCCAAGTCATTTTTCACATCATTTTTCACCCATGCTGCCTGTCATTTTCGTAAAACAATAATATATTTTCAAAACTTGTAGATTATACGAGATACGTTTTATAATATATTCACAAATCTCTAACGTAACCTTGTGAAAAAGGCCGAATTTGTTTCTTGCTGGTGGCAACAATAATGTCTCGATTCCATTAAAAATGGCGAACAGTTTGTAATTGAAAAAAAAATAATAAAAAAAATAAAACAGTGATGAAAGTGACGTATTTCGGCTATCTATGACTTATTTATCAAAATTATATGCAATGAATAAGTTGGCGAATAAAATATAAAAAATACATTCGCTATTTTAATTATATGTTAAAATTACTAAAATATTAAGTTAACATCCTTCGTTAAATACAGATTATATGTTATGTAAACCAATTTTATTCGACCCATTTTAAATACAATTGAAGTAAACATGGAAACTTACCATGCAATGAGTTTTGTAGGTGCAAAATATAAAAAAAAGACAAAAGAAAGACTGCTTATTCATATACATTTAATTAAAAAAGAACTTTGATTTTAAATATTTTAAACCATGAAAGCTAACTTTAAATACAAATAATGTTATACTGATAAAAATATTTAATTCGTCAGTTACGGCAGATGAATCGAAAAATTAGTATGCAATTTTCTTACTGTTACAATATGGCTGATGATAATTTAATTGTGTTTTCTACACATAATTCAGAAACAAGTACCATTTTATGAGCAGCTCTTCTTTTCCAAGTTAACTCCCTAAGGAAATGGATTATTCAACTCTAATGCAGATAAGGGAATATATATTTTTGTTTATTGTGAGCATTACTGCTTTCAAAGGAATAAACAGTATTGGTCTTTGTACGAGTTAATTGCTTAATAGAATATTAGTCTTATTACGAGTAAATTGCTTAAACTGGTATTGGTCTTCGTACGAGTAAATCGCTTAAACGAGTATTAGACTTTGTACGAGTAAATCTCTTAAACGAGCATTAGACTTTGTACGAGTAAATCTCTTAAACGAGCAATCTTTGTACCAGTAAATTTCTTAAACAAGTATTGGTCTTTGTAAGAGTAAATCGCTTAAGCGAATATTAGACTTTGTACGAGTAAATCTCTTAAACGAGTATTAGACTTCGTACGAGTAAATCTCTTAAACGAGCAATCTTTGTACCAGTAAATTTCTTAAACAAGTATTGGTCTTTGTACGAGTAAATTTTTTAAACGAGTATTGGTCTTTGTACGAGTAAATCGCTAGACTGCCATGTTTTAAAGTCTGGTAAGCGAGCAAAGGCTTGCGAAGCGATCCGAAGCTGTTCCGGAGTTAGCGAGCAATAGTGAGCAGGTGATGGTAGATCTCTAGTTTAACAATAAATTAATAAACTTCAATTAATTTTTAATCATTATAATTCCCAAAATAAGATTTAGAATAATAGATATTTTGAATGAGTTCGAAATAATTTTTTGAACTTGTTGTGATTCTAATTTCCTTTAAATTATAACAAGATGCTTTTTTTCAGGGGAGAATAATGATTTTATTCATATGCTGGAATCTAAAGATATCGACACGTTTCAGAATGGAACTTTAGTTATACATTCGATTACAAGAGAAGACGGTGGATTGTATAGATGCAATGTATCCAATGGAATAGGAACTCCTCTTATTAAAACAGTTGCTATCAAAGTTATAGGTATACTTTACATTAAGAAATATTGCATTTTTCTCTAAGATTTTGATGTGTAAAAATGTTATTTAATTACATACATTTAAGTCCATTTCTTTTCTGTTGATTATCTTATAAAAGAATTAGCCATTCTATCGACTGCTGAATATGTATGATTATATGACGTTTAATCATCATTTTCTCACAAAAAATACGATGTATTTCGTTATTTCTTGTTTTTGTCTTTTATTATCTTTATTTTTCATGGTTTGTATTAAATAATGAACAATTTTAAAAGCTAACGTACGGCAATAGCTTATGCTGTATCCGATTATATGAATTTGCTGCGTTACCTTGACAATTATTTGCTTACAAAAACGTTATCATACTAACTATTGTTAAATATGCATGGTTATATAATATTTAATCATCTTCTCACAAAAAATGCAATGTATATTGTTATTTCTCGTTGTTTTCTTTTAAATTATAGTTTTATCTTTATTTGTCAATTGTAAACGTTTTCACTTATAGATAAAATTGCATATACATACTATAAGTTATTTACAGTTATTTGTTAACCATTTATGTTGTAATTGTAGTTGTTGTAGTTCATTTTCGTCGCACTAGAGCTGCATAATGGGCTACTGGCGATGGTCTGGGAAACATCCCTCAGGATGATCCGAAGACATGTCATCACAATTTTGATCCTCTGCAGAGGGGATGGCACCTCCGTTTCGGTAGGCCGACGACAGGCACGTGAAGTCGAGCAATTTACGGCAGAACAGTTTAACAAAGACCGATACCGCTCACCCTCGGTCCCTACGCAATCTGATCAAAGTGGTCACCCACCTGCCTACTGACCGCAGCCAGTGATGCTTGACTTCGGTGTTCTACTGGGAACCGTGTCTTAACGATCAGTCCACTGCGGGACTGTAAAAAAATAAAACCATAAATAANCAATATATATATATATATATATTTGCTGCGTTTCTTTGACAATTATTGGGTTATAAAAACGCTAGCCTTACTAATGACTGCTGAATATGTATGATTATATAATATTTAATCATCATTTAATCATCATTCGGGGGTTGGCGAGCTTTAACGAGCAGGGGGCGCAGCCGACTAGTTATAAATATTTTGTTTAAGTATATTAAAGGTATGATGACATCGTCTTCGTTTTATACTTGCAACAACATTGTTAAACATTTTTTTTAGATTCAGTTTTGGAATTTTATAATTTAATAATGGGTAAGTAATTAATGCATAAACAAGTGTTTCCGAAAAAGCATTCTTTTAAAAAAAGCATTAAAAAGAAGTATAGAAAAGTATTATTTATGCAGCAAATGATATCCAAATGTAACGTAATAACTAATGAGTAAAAATATTTCAAACTATCATGCAATATAATAAAGGGGTAAAAACGTTCGTTGCTATAATACCATGGTTTTATTTTACATCTATGTTTTTTAGGTATTGTCACAGTGGAACATTATTGATGTAGTATGAAAAAAAAACTTTCTGTATGATAATATCTGGATTTCAAAAACAAGAATGACTCGAAATGTGTAGCGATATTAAGAATGCATCGATAAATATTTCTATGCTTTCTTTTTTTTCCTTCTTAGTACCTTTTGTGATAATAGGTTTAATTGTTATTGATTTTTTAATGATGGGGTTTTTCTTAGATGTATGCATGTGTGTAATTTGAGATTCCTTAATTAAAGATAAATATATTGGGAGTACAAACTAGTTCAGTCCGTTTTTTGTGTGGTCAAAAATGCATTTATTTCAGAACAAAATGAATGAACAGATTAATCAAAGTATTGTCTATCACTGGCTACTACTTTTCCCCCCTCTCAGGCATTTTTCGAATTCCATCTCGAAAAAATACCTAATCTTTTGAGGCGATTCAAGTTAGGAGCCAATTTTTGATTTCTGCGAAATAAGTGAACTAGTGACCTGCAAAATCATGCTGCATCCATCGGAACAACCAGTAATCAGAAGGCGCAATGTCCAGAGAATACAGCGGATGTGGTAAAATATCCTACTTGAGCGTTTCCAAATAGTTTTTTACGACTTTTGAGACATCAGGCTGACCGTTATTATGCAGAAGAATAACTTTGCTCGTATTCCGCTTTTTTTCTCGTAATGCACGGCTCAAATGAATCAATTGTAGCTTATACCAATCGCCCGTAATGGAATCACCAGTTTGTAGCAGCTCATAGTATACAAAACTATTCACCATTTATCTTTCACCATTTACCATTCTTTATTCACCATTAACCATTCTTGAAACGTCGAAACCATTCCCTACATGATTTATGAGTTGGAGCATTGTCAACATAAACTTCTACAAGCATTCGATGCGCTTCAGCTTCACTTTTCATCCAATTAAAGCAGAAACATAAAACTTCCCGCAAATGGTGCTTCATTAGCGCAAAATTTGACATATTCAACAAAGTAAAAAACAAGGGTTTTGTATGAAACTCAAAGCAATATAAACTGAATATTATTGACAGATGTTTAACCTCTCTAAAACCACTGAAATCAGCTGTCACTATTCATAACAGCAGAGCCATTTTTTAAAAACGGACCGCTAATAATAAAGCGTTTCTGTGTTCTTTTATACTGTGAAAAAATACAGTGGTTCATCTAACAAACAGTGAATTTTCATTTTGTAAACAGAGTGTAAAAAAAATTACAACTTGTGTAAACTATGTCGCATCTACGTATCTGTTTTCTCTGCATAATAGCGAATTTAACTCCGCTCTCAATTTCCAAAACAATTATTATATATTATTCTTTAACATAAATCAATCGCTGACTTCATGCGCGAGAGTGCATTGATTTGTTCTAACATGTGTGAAAAAGGGTTTCGAGAATTTATTTTTGAAAATTTAGAATGTTAAGTTCCGGTGTATTTAACTCTTTATGCAAAATTATTAGCATAATAATGAATTTTTTTCTTCCTATAAAATAGCAAATCTCTCCTGATTAAAAATCTACAAATCAGGATAGATAAAATGACTATATGTACATTATAATATGAATTTACATATGCATACAATATAAGGTATATTATATAGTACAAAAATTTGAAAAAGTGCTTATTTTGGAATTGGATTTCACAATTAATTGGAATTGGATTGACAAATATTTCATGTTTTCAGTATCTATCAATGCCAATTACTCTTAAATGATTAAATACTGCTGCTAAACATTGTTTTCATCTAATTTATAAAAATTTACTACTTTTGCTGAAATAGAAATAAAATGTAAATCCTACTTATAAATGAAAATTCTTCGAAAAATATTAAGAGTTGGAAAAAGCAGATTTTAAAACCAACCTTCTTATTGTTTCATGGCATTTTTAAATTATCTCTATTTTATATAATAAAATAAAATTGACTATCAATTGTGGTTGTCATTATTTTTCTAGATCGTTGTAGAGTACTTCAATTGATAGTTGAAAATATTAAATATAATAAGTAAAAGTATATTTAATAATACTTTCTAATGAAAAAGTAATACAAAATGTAAAAATTAATAATTATTAAACAATGACGTGAGAGCTTTGTGCATTTGAACCAACAAAAATTGTTTGTATGATTGTTTGAAAAAAAGTTAGCTATTAAGGATTATTGTAAATTTATTCTTGAAAATTTTATTGATTAATTTTAGTAGTGAATGATTAAATTCTTCTTAGTTCATAAATCTACATCTTGAGGGCGCTGCTGGTAATAATACTCTAAAGGCGTCATTGTTGATGAATAGGCTATTGCATGAAACAATGATTTTTAACACATTTACTTGCTTTATTTTCTTGTGTTATTTGATTTAAGCTTAACTTGGATTACGACTTCGGATTTTCAACAAGGTATAATGAAGCTATTTCATCATTTGGACTATTCACTGATTTTCCTATGGGTGATACCTTTATGTAAGTATTGCTTTTTTTTAACACATTTATCAATATTAATATATTGGATATTCTGAATATTGAAAAACAAGCCTTGCTTAATTGATTATTATTGTCAAATTTTGTATTTCATTTAATTTTGTCAAAAACTAATAACTTTATTTGTTATTGATATTTTCAACGTTACATTAATGCTCATAATTTTATTTTTATAAAGTATTACAAAACGAAAATGCTATAAAAACTCGTATCATACTTTAATTGTAATTGGATAAATACATGTAATAAATAATTAAGAATTTAATATGCAATAATTAATTTATTTTGAAAATTGACTGGTTTACTATCGAAATTTATTATTATTCGTGATTTCACCTTTTCAAACAATTGCAATGTTAAGAACGTTTTAGTCATTTATATTACAATGCAATATCATTTTCCTGAACAGTAATAAGGAAACATAGTTTCGCATTTTTTAAAAACTATTTCAATAATTTTTGTGAGTTATGCAGTTACATTTTATTAATTAATTTTTACACGAAATATTTTTAGATAGATCTATTTCTATGTTTAGTTCTGGTTTAACAGGTTAATACGATCAATTGTTACCATTTTTTTGAAGTTCATTTAACAGTAAGAGTTTAAATTTTCTAAAATAAAAATTAACCCCAAAAAGTAATATAAAAAATACTGCTATTTTTCTGAGTAAGAAAACTGAAAGAATTAAAAGACATTTATTTTTTATTTTGAAAGACGCGATGTACGTAATTCAAATGTTCGTAAAGGTACTTTTAAAGTTTCATTTTTCTTTATCATCTGGCCTAAATAATTATATAAAAGTATCCAAAAGAGAAATCGCCTATTTGATGCCTAATGTACTAAGATACAGGTACCAGGACAAATAATTAGACGCAATCTAAGATTCTATGTAAAATCTTCATTATCAGGTAATACTCTATACAGCTTTAGTGTTTTTACGTGGAAGAAACCGTTTTACACTAGTTTATGTTCGTATACCAATTAGTTAACATTGTAATGCAATACGTTGAAAATAAATATAAGTAGAAAGTATATAAAAAAAATCTCCCGAATAGAAGCCCATTGCATGTATGTTTAAATATAAAAGTATTGCAGATAAATTCGTGCAAATCATGTCATTACTAAAACACTACAGTGTGTTTAATAAGTTCGTCCGTTTATTATATACTTATATTATACCTGATATAACAAATATTCTATATTTACTAGTGGGCTGTACCCCCAGCACGCTAACGCTCGCCAACCCCCGAAAATTACTACGCAATCTTATAGGTTTGCTTTGCAAACCAAGCACGCTTTGCTCGCTACTAACTTAGGTACATTGCAAATGCACAAAATTCTAAGAATTCAAAACAATCATTCAAATCCATAGAACATCTTTTTAGTAAATACTAAGTCATTAAAATAAATGTGAATTCAAATAAATGACATATAATTCGTTAAACCTATTATAGAAATGTGCTATCGTATAAAATCTTGAAGCGTAACAGCACGACTGAGACTCATTTTTCTATGGATAACTAATAGCAATAATAAAACAAATAAATTTGTGACATAAATCAAAAATCGTCAAATAAATTCGTAATATATAAATTCGTGAAAAAAAGCGCTTTCGACAAAATACTAAAATAGAGATAGATCGACAACGCCGCATTGACGAGATTGCCGCAGCTGATGCTCTCTCAGATTATTTCAGTTTCCGTTTTTAAAAGAGCTATATGTTGAGCCACCTCAGCTAGATTTGGCCTGTGACATTTTTAGCGGCAATCATGGGTCGATTTTCCACCGTTGCCATTCGGGGAGTTGTAATGATGCTTTTTTTGTCGCCGTGTAAGAGAAATATATATATATATAGATATTATATATCGTCTAATTCAACCCATTGATACTCGAACGTAAACAAGTGCAGACGGGTATCAGCAGCGTCAAAACAATAAATCTGTATCGAGCAGGGATGGCGAATCAATGGCACGCGTGCCATTTATGGCACGCGACACAATATTTGGACACTCCACCGATCACAATTGTTGTTACACTATGATTTGTTATTACGCAAATGCTATTACGCTATGAAGCATATGTAACAATTAAATTAAAACTCACAAGAAACAAACAAAATAATAAACATTATTAATAAAAAATTTATAATTAATTAGTTATTAATAAAATTAATTAATTATTAATAAAAAATGAATAACTAATACTAAAAAAACAATTAATAACCGTAAAAAACAAGCTAATAATAAATAACTAGCAAAACAAATCAACAGTCCTGCTTAAACTAACGTCTTACAACCTAATATATGTTATTGGTCATCTAATCTGCAACCACAGAAGTCACACTGATATTACTTTTGAATTACGTGTATAACTGAGACATTGCAAAATGTATTTTTTTTTTCAATGTAAATAAAGAGCTGATAGTATTTAGTATTATTATTTTCCCAATAATCACGAAATCTAAATTATTTGACGGGACCTCATTAAGCAATTTTGAAGAGAAAATGGCACGTTGGTGTTTAAAGGTTCGCCACCCCTGGTATAGAGTATCACCTGATGAGAAAGATTTCACATAGAATCTTAGAGAGCGTTTAATAATTTGGCCAGGTAGACAGCGTAGATGAAACTTAATGAAGTTAAACATGTTTTTATCCATTTATTTACTAAGACACATAGCATCATTTGATTCTCTTTTTCAGATGCACTGAAAATCCAACCGTTTTCGTTTCCTCCTCAATCTGCAATCGGTCAGCGAGTGAGTGTCACGTGCACGCCGTTGCAGGGAGAAAAAATAGAATTCAAATGGTTGCACAACGGCTTGGAAATCATGAACGGAAGACAAAATGTGAACATTGCCTCCTTGCCTTTGTTTTCCAACCTCATCATCAATTCTTTAACTCCGGAGGATAGTGGCAACTACACTTGTGTTGTCCACAGCAAAGGATTTAAGGGGAGTTACACAACAACATTGGATGTCTTGAGTACGTCATTAAAGCATGTCTCATTGAAATTCCACTATAGAATGTTAATATCTTAAATAGAAGCATATACATTCAATGTTTATTAAATGTTTCGAATTAGCCATAGCAAAAGATTAAAGGGGAGCTATACAACAACATTGAATGTCTTGAGTTAGTAATTAAAGCATGTAACATTCCAGTATAAAGTGTTAATATCTTAAATAGNGCTTTATATCTATTTATTTACTGAGACACATAGCTATGGCATCACTTGATTCTTTTTTTTTCAGATGCACTGAAAATCCAACCGTTTTCGTTTCCTCCTAGATCTGCAATCGGTCAGAGAGTGAGTGTCACGTGCACCCCGTTGCAGGGAGAAAAAATAGAATTCAAATGGTTGCACAATGGGTTGGACATCATGAGCAGAAGACAAAATGTGAACATTGCCTCCTTACCTCTGGTCTCCAACCTCATCATCAATTCTTTAACTCCGGAGGATAGTGGCAACTACACTTGTGTTGTCCACAGCAAAGGTTTTAAGGGGAGTTACACAACAACATTGGATGTCTTGAGTACGTCATTAAATCATGTCTCATTGAAATTCCACTATAGAATGTTAATATCTTAAATAGAAGCATATACATTCAATGTTTATTAAATGTTTCGAATTAGCCATAGCAAAAGATTAAAGGGGAGCTATACAACAACATTGAATGTCTTGAGTTAGTAATTAAAGCATGCAACATTCCACTATAAAGAGTTAATATCTTAAATAGAAGGATATTCATTCAATGTTTATTAAATGTTTCGAATTAGACCAGTGTTTCCCAAAGTGTGGTACGCGTACTTCCTAGGGATATGGGAACAGTTTAGCGGAGGTACGTGTTCTTATGCAAAATATCTTACAACAAACGAAAATTTCAAAAAAGTTTATTTAAAAACAAAGCTAACCATGAAAATTTATCATTACGTATTTTTGTATTGACTATTTGCTGAATTAGCAGTTAAAAATGAGTGGTGTCAACAGCCAGTTGTGATTTTTAACTTTTGAGCAATTTTTTATCACAGCAAAGACAATATCATCCTTCTAATTGATGCAAATAAACTTATTAACAAAACTTTGTATCAAAAAAAAAAGAAGTAAACATATTCTTAAAAAAATGCATTCACTTTTTTATTAGTGGTACACAGCGTTACGAAAAATATAGAAAGGGTACACAAAAGTCGTAAGTTTGGGAAACATTGAGTTAAACAATCTGATAATGATGAGATGATAACCATTTTCCTTGATCATTCTTATTACTATTACAAAGCAACATTTTTTTTCCTAGATATATTTTTAATTATAAATGAAGTCCGACATATTTATTATTTTGCACAAGTAAGCGCTTGGTTTGTTGATCATTTATTCTTGTTTATGAGAGATTTAAATGTTTTACTAATAGTTGCAACTTTTTTGCTTAGAATATATACAAGCAAAACAAAAAGGAATTTTTGGGTCGTGATGATTTCACTGCCTTTTACGATTTTCGATTTCAGATGCTATTTGGCTAAAAACTTTTTTTTTTACCTTTTAGTTTAAGAATATATTTTAACTTGATTTAGCATATACGGTCCCTGGTCATATTATTAGATGCACTCTAAGATTCTGTGTAAAATTATAATTATACAGGTGATACTCTATACAGCTTTAGTGTTTTTTACTCAGATGAAACCGGTTTGCATTTGATTACGCTCCTGTATCAATGGGTTAACATTGTCATGTAATACGTTAAAAATAAATATAAATAGGTATAATAAAATAGGTATAAATAGGTATATAAATAGGTATAAATGAAGTATCATAAAAAATCTCCTAAATAAAAACCCATTGCAATGAATGTTTAATTACAAAAGTATTGCCTATAAACTCGTGCAAATCATGTCATTATTAAAACACTACAGTGTGTCTAATCATTTGATTAAATTATTACAACATACTAATATAATACCTGATACAATGAACATTCTATATTTATACAATATATAGCCTAATTTATCCCATCGTCAAATTTATATTATTTATCGTCTCATTTAACCCATCGATACACTAACGTAAACAAGTGCAAACCGGTTTCAGCAGAGTAAAAACAATAAAGCTGTCATCTGATAATTATATTTTTACATAGAATCTTACAGTGCGTCCAATAATTTGTTCTGTGACTGTAATTATGCATTTCACGACCAGCTCGCAAATTTTAGTTTCCTCAATTAAGATTTACGTTCAAAACAAACAGCAATGATCACTACTTTTATCAAACATTATTCACTCTTATTGTTATTTTGAATGAAAAATGCAAATAGTGTAAGTTTGTGAGCTAAAATAGTGAAAAATAATTTTAATTTTTAATTTTGTAGTACCCCCTTCTTGGATATCCGTGCCAACAGACACTGATGCAATTAGTGGCTCTTCCCTCAATCTCCATTGCAATGGTAGTGGAAAACCAGTGCCTGCAATCACGTGGTCGAAATCAAAAAGTATGTATAGATTTATTACATTTTGATCATGAAAAAAAAATTAATTTTATCCTGCAGTTTGTAAACTTTACTTCTCCAAAATAAAAAATTTTTGCAACACAGCACAAAAAAGGTATAAAAAATTATAATGTTGGAATGTTTCTGCAACCTTATTAAGTTGAACCATAAAATTGATTGTAGTGCTTTTATTCACTAAATAATGAATCTTTTATTTATTTTATTCATTAAATCATGTTTCAGGTGACAGTTCCGATTTCACTTCTTTGCTTGGAATCTCCGAAACGAAAGTTCGTCCGAATGGAAATTTGCATATTGAAAACATCCAAAAAGAAGATGAAGGAATGTATAAGTGTAATGTATCTAACGGTATAGGAAACTCCCTCATTAAAACAATAATGGTCAAGGTTATAGGTAATATATTTTAATTGCATTGCAAATGAATTTAATATATATTAAATTCATTTATAAAATTAATTTAAAAAGAAATTATTTAATAAATTTTGTAAAATATACACTGGTGGACAAGATTAAGAGATGGAAAGCATTTTCGCACATTTCTATGACGCTATATTCTTTTATGACGCACACTTCTATGCCGCTATGACGCTATTTCTGGACTGTTATTGATATGGAGGGAACCCGATACCATCCCAGCAACATTATCGAAAGGGACCATTATGCTGGTGGAGGACTCATGGTTTGGGCAGGGATCATGCAAGATACCCACACACCTCACCATGTGTTTGACAATGGTTCCGTGAATGCCCGGAGGTACAAGCAGGAGGTCCTAGAGCCCTATGTGCGTCTTTTCAGGGGCGCTGTTGGCCTTGCGTTCATTTTTATGGGCGACAATGCGCGACCACATAGGGCTCTCATGGCTGATGAGTATCTGGAAAGCGAGGATGTTCAACGAATGGATTAGCCAGCCAAATCTCCTGACCTGAATCCTATTGAACATTCTTGGGATGCTCTTGGGAGAGCTATTGCGATGCGCCAACCTCCCCCCAGAACCATTCAGGAGTTAAAAATTGCTCTGGTGGAAGAATGGTAGGGTCTTCCACAAGTCCTCCTTAACTCCCTTATTAACAGCATGCATACTCGTTGTGCATGCTGTCTGTCTGTGAGGGGTGACCATACACCATACTAGAGGCAACACACACTGTACAAGTCTCACTTTTATTGTCATCTTTTATCCTTAAGTTCAGACTACATTGGATTTATTGGCAATAGGTCTTGCCAGTGAATGGCACTTTCATTTTTGTTTTGCATACTTTATTATCATGGAATAAGCCACACCAAATTTCATTTACTTATATTCAGTATTTTTTGAGATATTTGGGAAAATGTCTTCCATCTCTTAATTTTGTCCACCAGTGTAGCTTTCTTTTCTTTTAACTTGAAGGAAAATTATACTACTATGGATTGATTTCTTTATTTATTTGTCTTTGGAGTTAATGAACTGATTTTTTTCTTGTTTATGTATATGAATGTTTAACCACCATTTGTTGTTATGATTGATTAAAAAAGCGAGTTGTTCCATTGTTTTGGGTTTTCGTTATCGTATTAGACTACGTTCATAAGTATCAATGTCTTTCGTTCAAATTAAAAAGAAACATATGTATATTATGCGCTCATCTTCCTATTTACATTTATGTTATTGATTTTATTTTAATTAAGGCTGTGTGTTCTAAATAATGCGATGCTTTTCAATTCAAATTTATTTAAAATAATCTTAGAATTGTTAAAATTGTCAATGTAATTAGGAAGCAAACTATTTTTTTCGAGTTCCCAGAGGATGTAATAATTATCTGTGATTCTGTAATAAGCGCCATCTATTTATTTTCTTTGTAATAAATGAAGTAAAAAAAAGGCCAAATAACGTGACATAAATTAATATTCAAACAGGACACAAAAATGGTATAAAATTCCTGAAATAAGCAGGAAAACGGAATAAAAAAACATCAAAACCAGTTTGATTGCCTGGAAACACTTGAAGATGTTTCTAATAAACAGCTTTTAATTTCCCTCTTCTCTAGCAATCAAACAGGTTTTGTGTTTTTTTAACTCACTGCGGTGAGATTTTGATGACGGTTTGATTTTTTCGTCTATTAAATATTGATTGACAACCCTTAGCATGCCCATTTGAAATGCTTTAAAAATATTATATTAAGGGCGGTCATTACGAAACACCTTCTACTCGACTATGATAAATATAATCAGCTATGTATACCTATGTGATTTATATATGCTATGTATAGCTATGTAAAAGTTCTGTGAAATGCATTCGTGATATTTGTGTCGATTATGATTTATATTTTCAATTTATGTAACCCCGTTATCTTTATACCTACAGTTTTATTCCATCTTTCGCTTAAGATTTAAATTTTTAACTTAGTTTACTAAAAAAACCATTTTGTTCAAAAGTGTTTGTTCTACTATTCGGAATGATCTGTAAGTTTCTTCAATGCTTTACAACAAATCAAGATTGCTCTTATTGTTCATAAATCGCTTACTTAATAGCTGTCTTATTCAAGTGTTTATGAACTTCAGAAACTATTCAGTAAATACAAGCTATAGTATATTTGTGAGTTAAAATAATTCATATGGACTAAAAATTACAAACTTTACTTATTTATTAGTGAAGATTTTAATTCCGAATTATTGCTTCATATATTGCTGAATACTTTTAGACACAAAAAACTGAAGTATTTAAACCAATCCTTCTGAATTTAGAACTAGTAGTCCGTTGCAACGCGTCAATTCACTACAGGAAATGCTGTTATAAGCAAACACACATTATCAATGTTAAAACAGCAGCTTCAAAAATTGAAACGTCCTTGATAACACTGAACGCTGATTTCAATAATAGACTGACAATCTATCAAGAAGATAGATAAGTAGTTAACAAGAAGGCTCTTGAAATGTTGTTTTACCCACAAATAGCGAATTTTTTATTGAAAAGAGTTTCATCAGTGATCACTCCCCGTGTACCATAATACATGAATAAAACGTAAATTTGGGGGAAATTGGTGAAGTCAACACGCTTCATACTTGAATTTTTCGTATTATTTACGTAGTATTACGTTTGATATTTACCATTGAGATATTTGGTAACAAAGCTTTGGTATAATATTTTGCTTAATATTAACGGAATAGATTTTACCAACTACCCTTCTGCAAGATTGCTTTCGTGGCCGGGATAGCCTGGTCGGTAGGGTGCTGGGCTGATGTCCGAGAGTTCGTGGGTTCGAACTTAGCCGGCCGGTGTAGCAAATGGTGACTGACGCACGTTAAATCTGTTGAGTCGCAAAGTCCTCCATGTTTCCATAACAAATCAATACCTCTTGGGGTACTGGATTGGAGATCGATCGTTCTCTGATTCAGGTCAAAATGACGATCTGTGGGTGAAGGGATGGATATATGAATGGGTCCGCCCTATAAAAAAGGGGCTGTGACGTGTGTGTGTGTGGCTGAATACGAATTCTTGGCCATGGATGGCGCCACTGAAAAAACAAGAAATGCACACTCTGCCTTAAATTTGCTTGGTTTCACCAAGCAGGCTTGCCCGTATGGCAAGTAGCATTAGAAACAACAACAACGACAAGATTGCGTTCGCATATTTTGCGAAAGATTGACGAAACAATATTTACTAGATTTAGTGAAAATCATTGTGTGTATTTTACGTATTATTCTAAAAGCGAATTTATCATTTCAATTTCGGTTTGAATTTTTTCTGTTTTCAGTTGAATTTCTGTTTCTTTTTTTACGACCACTTTTTTCCATAATTTGACGTTTTAACTTACGCACATTTTGACGTACTCTTGACGTAAATAATATATAAAAATAACGTGTTCATTCTTACCTAATAAAATGTGGTTGGTAAAATATTCTTACAATAAACGAATTTGCTTACGTAATATTTTATGTAAATGTTCCGTTTTTTTGGATAACTACTTTTTGCTATAATTCGATGTTTTAGTTTTACGTAAATTTTGCAAATGCTTCGTAAGATTTAAAGGTGAAATATGCATGATTCTGACGAACCTTTGATGCTTCACTGCTACCTGGTCATACAGTTTCCTAAGTGTTAGTATTGTAATCAAGAAGTAAGGTGAAATGATGTCCGTTTTTTTCGTTTCTTCGTTGATACCCTAAATAAAGAGAAGTATCTTATTTTTAATGCTCTAGTTATTGTGTTTTAAAAGTGCAATTTTTTTTTGTCAAGAAGTTTCTTTTTGAAGCACTATATACAAGGTCATGTGCAAACAGCTAAGGAATGATGAATATAATCAAATCTATACAATACTTTAATGCATTATTGGTTTATTTGATTACAAGATTTACGTATAAGTATACTGAAAAAATAAACTATGGTCACAACTTGCATAATATGGTTAATTGGTTATGATTTTGGCAAAATTAACCATGAAATATTATTTTATAACATGTGCTAAAATTTGACAAATTTTGCAATATTGTGTAGTTTTACTGTGATACCTGGCATAAAAATCATTTACTCTGCAAAATTTACTTTGTATTTTCTCCTAAATGTGTGATAATAATACCTGTAACTTTGAAATCCAGAATTTCCACTACCTGAACTTAAAAAAGACCCAATGAATGGTTTATTTATTATATATATATATATTGGTTTTATTAACCAAAATTATGTTATTGTTTTTTATCAGCAGTGTAATTATCTTAGCATGGTAATTTTCATCGAATTGTTTTGTCCATGTATAATATCAAACTTAGACAACAATTACAAAACAATTTATTACAGTAAAAGTATAAGCTTCACTTGCTCGTGTCTATAAATTTGGTAATGCTGAAGATTATATTTTTAACGTGAAAAATACTTTACTGCTGACACTTAATAAAAAATTTATTTTTAGAAATTGAATATGAAATGTAATTTATTTTCGTGATTTTAGTTGTATGATTTAAACATTGATGGCGCTGCGATTCGCATCATCATGAACACAATAAAACGCCATTGCTTCTCTTATAAACTGTACGGCCAGTGTAGCGTACGTGTTTTTATACCTGTATAATATATGTGCCCATAGAAATGTTACGCAATGAGATGAAAATTCCTTCCATATTTTTTCTGGTTGTGATATGGATAAATATGCAAGGTAAGTCAATTTCATTTTTGTCTTTTGCTATTAAAACTTTATTAACCACATACTAAGTCTTGTTTTCTATTATTTTCTGAATTAGTTAAATTAGAAAGTATTCTCTTCAATTTCTGCCTATAAATAGATAGTACAATGAATTTCGGAACTTTTTAAAAGAATTTGAATTTTTTTTTATCTCTTTATGGAGTTTTTTTCAATTTATAAATACTTGTTTTTATCTTCTATTTACTGCTAAATTTGGAATATTAGCTCATATTTGTTTGATGCCTTGATAAAAAAAACTG